AATTCTACATTCCCTAGTCTCATGGTGTCGTATGGAGCTATTACTTAGTGGTTTACGGAGACGACTGTCAACCAGTAGGTTACGGGTTCGAACCCCGCTTCACCTACCAAAGTTTGTACAGCCAGGTAGAAGCATCAATAGCTCCTACACAATAGGTGTTGGTTACTGTCTACTGTTCAAATGTAAACAAGTTTGCTGAATGTGTTTTATTGTGCAGCCCGGTAACCATGTGCCAAAAAGATCGCGATCAAATTCAGTCAGAATTCAGGATTAGACAACAAGACGTTGGTTACCTTTTTGGTGACCAGTCAGTATATCTAATCCAGTACTACAGGAAGTCAATCGTGGCCCAGAATAACGTCTCTGACTGCGGCATTGGGTGACGCAGGTTCGAATGTAAGGCTGGATATCAGTTCCATCGAGGTTGTACATACACCTTGCTGACGAGTGTCAACACATGCATAAAACACATAGATCCAGGGTTTTCTGTCTATCGCCTCCATTGAACTAACATGTATACAAAGGCATCCAGATATTACCTCAACCAACCCTGGTGGTCAGAATGTGCAATGAACGCGATCGTTTTCGACAAGTATATTGGACTCGGCAATACGAAGTTGGTTACCCTTCAAGGGTTTTGCCCAATTACCATGTGAATTCGTGACATCTTACTACCGCTTGATATAGCTAACAGTCGGACCTCATAGATCAGTTGGTAGAGCATCGGGCTGGGAACCCGATGATCACTGGTTCGAGTCCGCCCGCAGTCCAAACTTTCACTTCACCTTCAGTCATCACTCAATATCAATACTAGTTGGGCAAACCATGGCTCCTATCTCATATAGTCGAAATAACAATCAGTTTGATGCTCCCTCTCTCTAATTCAGTTAGATTTGGGTTGGAATGAGTTCTGACTAGGCAGCCATTGTGAATACGATCAAGTTGTAGTAACGCGCCATGAGTTCACATGATAGTCGGTAAAAATCCATGGTGATAGAAGTCAAAGAAAAGTCTGGTCAAGAGTTGGACCTGGTAGGTCATTTAGTTTAGCATCGAGTTGGAAACCTGATGGTCACTGGTTCGAATCCCAGTATTATTACTAGACTGCCAAACCACAGTTACCTCATGTAGTCACTTACACGAATAAAAGAGAAAATGGTTATTAGAGAGAAGAGGAGGAAGAACAAGATGACTGAAACTGTAATAATAACGATAGTGAAAAGAAACGCTAAATGGATGAAACACAGACAGACGTGTATTGTGACACTGTATATTACTGATTAAACAGTGTAACCTTTCCATTGAGACATTCATTTCCCCTCTTTCTTCTATTTTGTCTTGCTTTTGATACACCCAAGTCATGTCTTGGGCTTCTTTGAGCAGATTGTTTACCCATCACTTGTAATTGCCTATGACTTCTTACCTCTCGTCATATACTACTTATATATGTCCTTATCAGTAGCACCACACTATCATAGTCATCATTGGAAACGTTTATAGAATGAACGAATGAAAGAGTGGTGTTTTACAAATAAGCTATACAGATGGCTAGAGCTAAGAAAGAGGTTGTACGAATTCTTTCTGAACATAGATATACTTGCTTTGTTTAGGTGGATTCCGATGGTTTTTGGTTTATGTAAAAGATAAACTCGTAGAGATTAGGTAAGATTACAAGGAATATGATAGAAAACTTTAAAAGCGCTTTGAATATTAACTTGATGACCAATGTCAACCAGATAAAAGGGTTTCGAGCTCTGTATCGATCTTCTTTATCGATGACTTCGTTATGATGGATGATGTTGAGCAATTCAAAGACGGATTATAAGCTCACCGTAACTAAGCTACACCGGAATAGATGAACTAGTAAACGGATATTTCTTCGCTTACATTGTTTGTTTGCTTCTAACTGTCCAAATGGAAGTTTTCTTATCAATTCTAACTGACATCTGTTGTAACTGTTGTTGTTGTTGTACAAACAGTTTCTCATTTCTCTTTGGTAGTTAACCTGATTATTCTTTCTCAATATATCTACCCCTACTGTTATGATTTAGAACTACTACTATTGTGCTACGGTCTCTAACCGTGCACAGATATTCAATGTCAGCCATCAACATTCAACAAATTTCTAGTTGATTCCCGACCCGACTAATTAACTGAGAAGACGCGATACAAGTGTAGAAAAGTGTATTGGGGTGGGAAGACTGAAGACCTCGAAACAAAAGAAAATACAGCTTATATGTAGATAGTTCACTGTTTAAAATCATCTTATTTATTGACTGACCCACCGTCTATCTCTCTAACTATAGAAGCGATAATGATGGATAGTGGCTAGCAGTCGAATCCAGGATGCGCATTTTTTCCTATTTCGGACTCGTTGGCTGAATGTACTCGCCTTCCAGTGAGTGGTGTTGCCCTCTGAAACTCGGACTCGGGTGTGATCGCTTCAAACGTTAGAGCGTTATCCACTAGACCACCGAGTGATGATAGCCACTTGTTGTGTGACAGGTATAGTCTTATTAGCATTGGTAGTGTTGTAGCGTGGTTGATTGGACTGAAATGATCGGTCTCTATTGGCATATGAATCCCTGCGTGGATACCTCGATGTTGCCTGTGTTTTTAATTATATAGTAATCATGCATTTTACTACTAGTCACTATATGCCGATGGAGACTGATCAATTCAGCCCAATCAACCACGGTTTAATACAAGCAATAACATTATAGAAGTCATAACATAAAGTACATTTTGATTGGTTACTCCCAGACTCCTCTTTACTCTCTACCCATATATTACATCCATCTTCGAAAAAATGTTATTTGGGCTGAGAATGGGCATCTATCTGACTGACGCAGAGTAAGTTTCTCCTTGTTTACTGAGGGAGGGATCAGTAGTCTTCTCAGTATTCTTTCGACGAGCAGGTAGATGTGCATGGAGGTCAGCTATGAAGTGAAGAGATTGACCTATGGATGGAGGATGTGATGTGCAGCGGTGTAGTGTTATGTGGAGGGTAGTCTGTGTACCCTGTGTACCATGTGGTTGTGTGTATTGGCGGCAAAAATTGTCTTTATGGCCCCTAGCATTACGTTCGTAACATGGATGTTGTTTATGTGGACATCTGGGTAGCACAGTGGCATGAAGAGAATGGAGGTGTCTTTTTGGACGGTTGGTTGGTGTATCGTATGAGTTGTTAGTGGGGTGATGAATCGGTGAGGTAAGGTGTGAGGGTGGGTGGTGTGGTGTGGTGTGGTGTGGTGTGGTGTGGTGTGGTGTGGTGTGGTGTGGTGTGGAGGAGTGAGATGTCTGGCGAAGTGTATGTACTTGAGAACCACCACGGTGGTGTTGGTCGGGATTGGACTGCCGAGTGGTTGAAGTTCTGCTGACATGTTATGGAGTGTGTGTGTAGTGTGAGGTTGAAAGTGTGATTAGGTGGGTCTTGAGGCGAAATCATGTTTGAGTATTTGTGGAAGTGATATGGAGGAAGCTTTGGAAGTAGTAGAGGTACGTTTGAGGCATGATGTTGACCAGTAGAGTGCCGTTTGAAAGTGGTGTTGATAACGCGTTAATCAAGTATTGAAATTGTGATTGGCATTGGGATTGTAGTGAAATTCGGTGATGTTATTTTTGATGGCATGAAGTGAAGGAGGTGTGAAGAGTGGGGGGCGGGGTGGGGGTATAGTAGTCGATGGGATTGAGTAGTAGAAATTTTGTATTGTGTTAGGATGTCGATGATGGTGATTTGTTGTTTGAGTAAGTTGTTGAACACTGAATAGTCGATTTGCCAGTATCCCATTTTCGTCGCCAATTCTTATGATTCGAAGTATATCTGGTAACTATGCAACGATATCGACTATGAATGATCAACATTCACAAATTTCTAGTTGATTCCCGACCGGACTAATTACTATCTCACATAAACAAAATCATACATAAGACAATGATAAGTGTGTACTATCACATGTATGTTATCATCATACATTTTAGCGCTTACTTCCCTACCAGATCGTGTTATAATCACAATTATTTAGTGTTGTTGCTTGTATTATACCGTCGTTAATTGAAGCGAATTGATCAGTCTCTGTTGGCATATGAGCTCCTGTGGAGATGCCTCGATATTGTTTCAATTATGTATAGTACTGATGGGTAATGGCCAGCAGTGGGATCATGGATGCTTATTTCGTCCTATTTCTGACTTACTCATCAGCTGGATGTACTTGCTTTTGTGTTTTGAAGCGATCGCTGCCGAGTTGGAATCTTAATGGGAACAACATACTCACTGGTAGACAGGTACATCCAGCTGATGAGTGATTGTTAAATGGGACGAAATGCGCATCTTGGATTCCAATGCTAATCACTATCCATCATTACTGTCTACACTTAATTGGCTGATCAATAGTATTAGAATGAAAAATTAAAATAGGAACTACTTTATATCTTAATTTTTATTTTCATAATGGTAATAATAATGATAATAATAATAATAATAATAATCTGTTTCACTAACGGAACTTCACCAAGCAACTGTGAGTGTGTGTGTGTGTGTGGAGAGAGAGAGAGAGAAGAGAGATAGTTGTTCTCGCAAATTAATTAACATTTAAGTGAAAATATAAGCCAAAATTTATCTCATCCTATGGTTTCTGCATTTTTATATAAACTCATATGAGATAGACCATAGGAGTTAGTTAGGTAGTTAGTTACCATTCCTGTTGTATTTTGAAATTAAAATAGTACACGGGAAGTTCATTGAACATTATTATTATATTATTGTTAATATTTGATATATTAATTAGTCAAATCGCTACACTATAACCAATGGTAATATATTGCATACCGCTTTCATTTACATTACATTTACCATTACCATTGCCTTCTGATAATTTATATATCTATATACATATATTTCCGCCGGTTAATTTAATCCTCATAGTTAAACTTCAAAAAGTTAAGGGTTACAATATATTCATATGAATTCTTTCATATATATTATTTTATTTTTAATATAGAAATGCCTGGTTTAATGGCGTTGAGAAAACGAGCTAAAACAGATCAACCATTAAAAGGCGCTAAAGTTCTTGGCTGTACACATGTGACTGCACATACTGCTGTAAGTTTCAAATGATAATGCAACTAAAATTATTATTATTATTATTACTATTATTATTATTATTTATCCCTTGAGTTCCTAGTGGAACATAGTGCTCTGATAGCACATCCCTATTTCACTCCACAGTTCTCTACAGTCTTTTCAACTTGGCTTCACGACTGCTCATAACCTTTCACTTGTTTTTCACATGATCCCCTCCATGTCACTATCGGACAACCAACTCGTCGTTTCCCCTTTAGATTGCACTTGACGCTATGGCCTGTTGCATGATGTCTATGAATGGTTGTTTCCAGTGTTCGCTCAATCCATCTACACTTTCGTCTCCTGCATACTTCTTGGTTGGTTCATTGCCAGAGTTCCTTGTTGCTGATTCTTATTATTCTGGCCATCCATCTGATCTACTCTTCAGTATCGAGTGAGCATAGGTAGCAGTTGTTGATGAATGTCTGTAGTTTATTGGAAATACTTTTCATGACATGCCAAGTTTCTGAACCATATAGCAGCACTGACTTGGCATTAATTTTGAAAATCCGGATATTGTTCACGCTTTATGCTGAGTGTAGTAAAGTAGATCTCCACACTGATTTCAAATTAATGAAAGCCTGTCTTATTGTCTTTCCGATCCTAGCTAGTTTTGACGTCCTCATCTGTGCCTGTGCCGCCTGTAGTTGAAACGATACTGCCTAGATAGGGTGAAAGAGACAACTTCCTTTAGGTTTCTCCCGTTGATGGTGCTTGTTGTTGGTGTTGTCAGCTCCAAGTTTGGTATTCATGTCACCCGACACATTACAATTTTGATGTCACCAACTGGAGTCTTGTCCAGTACTGATTGCAGTTGTCTATAGAATTCCTCCTTCTTCTCTTGATCAACATTATTTGTACGTGTATAGCGTAGTATGATTGTTGTATGATTGGGATTTCCTTCCTTTTCAGTTGAATCTTGCTGTCGTGATCCTGATCTTGGAGGAAACTAGTTCCCACTGCATGAAAGCCTTCGATACTCTCGAAAACTTAGTAAGCTCGTGGTTGTCGACTGGGTGACAATATCGGAGTAGATTATTGACTGTTTAGTTGACAGTTTGGAGAGTCCACTTGCATTCTATCAGGTTTTGCAGATTGCAAGCACTTCGATGCCATACCTCCTCATCTCTTTTACAATCTGGGCAGCCTTGCTAGGTTCATACATGGTGCGGATATTCTATGTCCTCATTCTTACTTTCCATTCCATCAAGAGAAGAGAAGACACATCGGCCAATTGGCTTCCCGAAGGCTTTCACCAACCGGCGTCATTTCGTCTCCCCGGTTCCAGCGAGGAATAATTTTATTTTTTCTTTTATATTTTGTTTGTGCTTAGAAGTTTCTTTAGCGATTGGATTGGTTTTCCGTGATAGGGTTGTTAGCCCTAATCCAAACCTTTCTTTATCTGGGCTTAGGACCGGCTAGTTACTAGTGAACTAGTTAACCGGGTGAGGTTTTGAAACTAAGATATTCGTGTGTTATTTTGATGTAATCAAATGTTTATGAGAAGTTTTCGATGAGATTATATGTTGGGTAATATCAGTTATATCCTTTAGTGCCCAAGTTGGATCGTAAACTATTTAGTAACTTTGTGCACAATTGTGCAGTGGTCAGTAAGTCACACCTATGGTGTTAGGACCAATGATACATGCTACCTGACTGCGGTTATTCGAACGTATAACCCACTAGTTGGAAGTCAACTCCGAACCTCTTACATATGCAATTTCTGTTGGAAAATAGGAAAAATTAATTAGTATTTTAGTTATTATCTTAAACTGTGACTTATTGATTTAGGTTGTTGACTTTTTTCGTTGAGTATTTGTCTTCACGGCTACCAGGTTCCCTCCATTGGTCACGACTTCTTATTATAACTTCGGGAAGCTATTCGCTAATGAGCTGTGGATCGATTGAATTCGGGAGTTTGTGGGGGTTTAGTGATTTTTCAAGTTAGAATATTGGAATCCTGGGAGCACTGGACAGCTGGATCACCCTGATTTGGGCTCCAGCAGCGCGCACCTTTGACCCAGCCATGGAAATATAGACCATTAGACTTTGACCCAGTGGCTTAGTGGTGACGTGCTGGCCACTGAACCTTAAGATCCTGGGTTCCATCTTTGAGAGAGCGGGATCATGGGTACGCACTGCTGAGGGAGTCCCAGCTGTCCACTGCTCCCAGGTTTCCAATTTTCCTCCAACTGATGTCATCCCATGAGGAATATCAACTCAAAAAATCGTTGGTGAATAGTTTCGAAAGGTGATTCCTGAAGTTCCAGTGAGAAATTGTAACCAGTGGGACAAACCTGTTAATTTTTAACCAGTGCCAACCAGGTTCGAACCCAACCTAAGTTTTGACAGTCAGCCCACACGCACGGCTCTTAGATGTATCTCGACTTCCTTTTTTCGAGACCTGAATATACGAAGTAGGGTTTGGATGTTATATTATTATTATTATTATTATTATTATTATTATTATTATTATTATTATTATTTGTCCCTTGGGTTCCTACTGGAACATAGGGCTTCAGTAGCATGTCTTCATTCCACTCTTTTCTCTGCAATCTTTTCAACCTGGGTACACGACTGCCTAGAAGCTCTCATTTCTTCCTCACACGATCTCCATATCACCCTTTGGATGCCCAACTCGCCGTCTTCCATCTGGATTCCACTCGACGTCCTGGTGCGCAATGTCCCTGAATGGTCTTCTCAGTGCATTGCCAACCCATCTCCACTTCCTTCTGCATAGTTGTTGAGTGATAGGTTCTTGGTTGGTTCGTTGCCAACCAGCCAGAGTTCCTTGTTGCTTATTCTTTCTTTGGACATTATAACCCACTACTTAAAAGTTGAAGAGACAGACTAGTACGCTACAGCTCCTCGACACTAGTGACCAGCGATTCAGCGCATCTACGGAGAAGTATGTTTGATATCGTTTTATTATATACTTTCAGGTAGATAATGAGTAAACGTCTGTAATAATGTTGTTGTAAAGAGTTTCAAATGTATTGGGCATCACTTTACGTAATGAAATAAATTAGCTATTCACGGTTAGTATGGCATCCTTTAATGAATATTATTAGATGTTTTTTTCCCTTTGCTGAATTCCTAATATCCCCTCTTTATGCATTGTAACTCAGGTCCTGGTTGAAACGATGGTTTGCCTTGGTGCTCAAATTCGATGGTGCGCTTGTAATATATATTCAACACAGGTAAAATAGTTTCTATATAATAATTAACAGTTGGGTTTTTTATGCTTTATTGTTTCTACTTGACTGATTGATTGACAAAATCATTGCAGAATCTCGTATACAGATGCGTTGCCTCAAGTTCACATACTCCGGCTTTTCTTAGCATAGTACATCGAGATAGGCGGTGACTTGACATGCACATCATATTTCCAAACTAACCTTAGTCGATGGAAGTTCATAATCTCATCATCTGAGTTGACTTCGTCACTTCAGGTGATCTCGACATTACAATGCTGCCAAGATATGTATGATCAAAAACTTGTAACTGTCATTTCTCTTAGCCATATAACAAGACACCATAGAGTACAACGTACTATACTTGTCCCTTAGTATATAGCACAATAGATGATGCAAGTTGAAAACTGCCAACTAGGCTAGTGTAACTCCTGAAGTAAGACAAATGGTCGACCTATCCATCCAGATCAACCTAGGACCAGGCATTACTGCGTAACGGTCCGAGTTCCCACACCTCATATCAGTACATCAAGTAGAAAGGTAGTGCGTGAGGTGAAAGATGAAGATAAGAAAACTCAGTCAAAAGAAATACAAACTACAAAAAGAGAGAAATGAAGAATGAGAAAATGGTGAGATTCGGTATGGCGTCGTTAGTCTCTTTACTATCCATTTGTCATATCTCCGTGTCTTATGTAGAGATGGATGTCGGTTTATAAAATTTGAGGAGTATTCAGTGAATTTTGTGTTGAAATGTGTGTCTATTCATATTGATGTAAGACAATATCAAGTATATTCTGTGATTGAAAGGAGGATCCAGTTGACATGAGAGTTGAATTGATCTTTACTATGTAGAATTATAATTTCTCAAAGTATGATCTATTTCTTCTAAGGCGTGCTAGTAGTAGTAGTAGAAGTAGTGGAGTAATGTGACTATGCTAACAGGGTTGTTAAGCATAGGAAGTGGTTCAATACTTTCTGGTCATGAGGTGTAGTGTGGTGTGGTGTGGTGTGGTGTGGTGTGGTGTGGTGGTAGGGTTACATTGTCAGCTGAGGTAAATAAAATTGTGACTGTTAAAAATGGCGAGTAATGAAATAGTTTTTTTTTCTTATTTGACTGTCTTAGCGGATTGTTTGTCATTGTTGTAAGTAGTAGTGAATGTATTACTGGCTGTAATAACAAGTATATATATGTATCTTCATGTTTGCGTGTAAATTCACCATCATGAATATTAACATAGGACCAGGCATTACTGCGTATCGGTCCGAGTTCCCACACCTCATATCAGTAGATCAAGTAGAAAGGTAGTGAGTGAGGTGAAAGATGAAGATAAGAAAATTGAGTCAGAAGAAATATGAAGTACTCAAAGAGAGAGAGAGAGAGAGGAAGAATGAGGAAATGGTGAGAATCGGTATAGCATCGTTAAGATGAGGATAATATGTGTGTATGGGGATACATCTGTGCCACTGACATCGGTTCTGAGCCATATCCCCTAGAGTCTCCAACCAGTGGTTTCTCTTATCCCGTCGACCCCAACCACCTTGTCTGAATCGTCCCACACGGCTCAAATAAACGGTCAAAGATTTCATACATTGATGCCATGTTTCAGTCTGGCCACCTCGAGCCTTTTTCCATACATTCCATCATTCCCACTCTCTTTGATTAAACTGTGAGTGGTTGCAGACAAGTCCTGAACAGGTACGAAATACATGACAAACAACATGTTCAGAAGACCATAACTGCATCTTGTCAGCTTCTTCACGAAGCAGTGAAAAGACAGACACAATAGGAACGGTAGTCGTTACATATGGTACACACTGCAGTAAAACCGTCATTTGCAAAATGTGCTTCGTTTCCTCTTCTGTTTTTCTCTTGATTTGTTCTTCATATATTCTTATCAGCAGCATCCACTGTAATCCTCCTGCGTTATCCCTTTCGTTGCTCTAGGCAGAATCCTTACCCATTGCTGGTAATTCCATATGATTCCTGCCACCCTCTCAACATATACTACTTATATCCATTCTTATCAGCGACGCCTACTACAGCAGGACAATATCGTCTGCATACTCCTAGTCATTCAAATGACCTTAGAATGTATGTAGCTGACCAGAGGTGGTTTATTTCGTTTATTTATTCGGACGTCTATATGTTCAATCAGCTCTAAGTGTACCACATTATTTATATTCATCCACAGCACAATATGGTATTACTGGTTTCCATGTTATATGTTGTGAAGAAATATAATACTCACACTTAACTAACCGCTAGCTTCGTACTCAAGAGCCACTGACTTCAACTCCGGAACGAATAGAGAGAAGATGGAAGCTGGATGATGGGAGATTTTATTCCTCCAAGAATATAATAATCAATCAATCAATCCCAAACACACTTGAATATGTACACATATGAAATATGACCTTGTCCGCAAATTGAGGTATTAACATTGTCGAGGTAAAGATTAACCAATCAGCGAATTACCTTAAAAATAGGGGCAGAAAATAAACTAAGACCTTACAACACTACTAGGAGGAAGCAACTTCCCAAGTTGTTAATGGCCTTCAACTGATCCCAATCGATGATTATTATCACCATGATATCAATAAAATCCCCATAAACTCCGTTTTTAGTTCCTTTTGGCATTTATTATTTGTCTTTTAGGTTCCTAGTGGAACATAGGGCTCCAGGAATAGCACTTCGTTATTTCACTGTCGTCTCTATAGTCTTTTCAACCTGGATCCACTACTACCCATAACCTTTCATTTCTTCCTCACACCATCTCATCTATATCACGCTCAGACGCCAACTCGTCGTTTCCCACTTGGGTTCCACTCGACGACCTGGCCTGGCGTATGATGTCCCCAAACGGTCTTCTCAATCTAATCCATCTCTACTTTCTTCTGTATGTTTTTTTGGATGATAAGTTGTTGGTTGGTTGTTTACCAGTCAGCCAGAATTCGTTATTGCTTATTCTTATTATCCTGGCCATCCATCTGATCTACTCTTCAGTATCGAGTGAGCGTAGGTGGCAGCTGTTGTTGTAGTTTGTTAGAAATGCTTTTCGTAAGGCGCCTAGTCTGTGAACCATAACATCGAAGCACTGGCTTACTTGACTGATATTAGTGTTGGGAATCGGGTTGTTGTTCACTGTTTCTGCTGAGTGCAGTGAAGTGCAGTAGATCTCCACATTGATTTCAGATGAATGAAGAAAGGGCTGTCTTGCTGTTTTTTCCTATCGTGGTTATGACATCCTCATATGTGCCTGTATTGCTGCCGCCTTTAGTTGATAGGATCCTGTCTAGGCTATACTAATTGTAATTTGCTACTTATTGTAAACTATTCTCTTCAATTATAAAGTGTATATATTTTGTATTATTGAAAAAGTATTATCTATCTACATTTAGAATGAGGTAGCTGCTGCATTAGCTGAGGCTGGATTTCCTATCTATGCATGGAAAGGTGAAACTGAAGAAGATTTTTGGTGGTGTATTGATCATTGTATATCTACTGAAGGTTGGTCTCCGAATGTGGTATGTGTCTACTAGATTGTATCTCTTTCAGTTTTGTTGAATGAATAAGATAATCTGAATTTTTTAAAAAAAAATTCTATTCCTATTGTTCTTGTCGTATTATCCCATTGCCTTCGTCATCATATGTTCAATGGCGTTTTTATTTTGCACAAATTAACGCTTGATTAGTATAGTATAAACCATTTGAAATGTGATAATGTTTCAAGCTAATCTCTGCTATTTGAAAGTTTATCATTGTGATTGGACGATTGTCAAGCTTCTAGGAGCACTTAATAGCTGTTTCGCCCTAATAACAGTCCCTACACATGACCTCATCGGGGGTCGAACCTAAGACCTATAGTTTCCGTGGAGAGCATATTACCATTGAGTCACTGGGTTGGAATCTACTGAAGAGGTCATGATATATCATGACCTTCATGTTCTCCTTGGATAACCCCACCGGTCACGACTTCTCATTTCGAAGGAATTCACTTTTGAAGATTTGTGGGACGATTTATTCACAACATACTAACATCAGCTGGATTGAATAGTTGTTCAACAACGACAGTCGATGAAAGTCTCACTATATAGTGAACTGATAGAAGTAAGTAATGTGAACTAGTGGGTCAATAGTAGTAATGTGATCACCGCGGAAACTGAAGGTTCTGGTTTTGATCACTATTGTAGACGAAACAGTACTCCCAGGTTTCTAATTTTTTTCCAGTGATATCAACCTATAATGAATTTCAACCTAAAATCAATGAAATAAATCCCTATAAACTTGAAAATTGAATTTCCAAGTATTTGCAATCGTTACAATATTATTTTTGAGAGTAGACCTTGACAACAGTTAAAACCATCAGTGCCGATGAATTCATATTAACATGAACCTGGCTCCACGATAGATCACAAGCTCTCATTTCTTCCTCACACGATCTCCTCCATGTCACCCTCACCTCGGACGCTCAACTCGTCGTTTCCCATCTGGGTTCAACTCGAGGGCCTGGCCTGGCGCATGATGTCCTCAGTCGGTTTTCTCAGTGTATGCCCAATCGATCTCTACTTCCTTCAGTGCATATTTGTTGAGTGATAGGTTCTTGCTTCGTTGGTTCGTCGCCATGCCAGAGTCCCTTGTTGCTTATTATTTCTGGCCATCTGAGCTTCAGTAATGAGTGTAGGCAGCTAGCTTTGCTAGGTTCAAACATAGTGCGGACATTCCATGTCCTTATTCTTACTTTTCCTTTCACCAAGAGAAGAGAAGACACATCGGCCAATTGACTTCCCGAAGGCTTTCACCAACCGGCGTGATTTCGTCTCTCTGACTTTTTATATTTTGTTTGTGCTTTGAAGTTTCTTTAGTGGTTAGATTTGTTTTCCGTGATAGGGTTGCTAGCCCTATGCCCAACCTTCACTCTTTACCCGGGCTTCGGACCGGCTAGTAACTAGTGAACTAGTTAACCAGGCGAGGTTATTAACATGAGATAGTGAAGTGAAACTAACATGCTTGTAGTGCTGAAGGCACATACGCACATGCACCACGGTGTTTTGACCTGATACTAGGAAAGACTTTTAATGGAGAATAAAAGTAACTTGCTATCATCACTCTATTGTGAATAATCTTCTTTGTTGATGATTGAAGTGAAATAGAAAAAATTGGTGGACAGATAAGTCCACTGGTTCGAGTCTGGTCGCAGTTGAAATTTTCACTGCACCTTCAAATCCTTACCTAGGATAATCTTCTTTCTGTTATAAGTAACTCAGTAGTTTCCCTCTAGCTTAACAGTCAGTAGGTTTTATGTTTGTCAGCGACATCTTTCATTGAGGACACATTGATAATGAGAATTACTATTTTTATTCATATCTAATATCATTGTCTTGATGTACACTATTCTTTAGCATTAAAGGTTCTCTACATTCAAAGATCTTCATAAAATACATGTGTTGCTCATTGCCTACTGCAGGAACGAAAGAGCACAAGGTTACCGAGTTGTTTACTACTACTGCTACTCTACAAGTTTTCAGGGCCAATGAGTACATAAAAACATGTATCAAACGATAACTCCCTAATAGCATATTTGATCAATAATTTTGGCTCAGTGTTTGTCACACTATTTTATAGTTCATTGTCTAGTATGTAAATATACTTGTGTTAACTGAAACAGTACTCTTGCATACGGATTGATCTACTCCCTGGAGAACATCAGGCTGACTTAGAGTGTGTGGGGAAACGATATTATCTTCCTAAGTGAAGATGCTGATAATATGCAGTTACAGTCTTCTGAACATGTGGAGCAGAAATCTGAGTATGTTTAGCATTCGTTTCCCTATCATCTGTCAAATGTAATATGATGGCTCCAGGATTGATCTGCTGCAAGTACTCCCAGTTTAATGATGGAATGTGTCAACCACTTCACTTACTTAGCTAGCCTGAACAGGGAGGTTGCTGACGAAATCTCAGCTGGGATAGAGGAGGCTCATTTTTTATCAACTGTATGACTGACTTGCAAGATATACCACTACCTACTTAAGAACGAGTATACTGGTTGCATTTTGTCCTATCCTGTTTTTGGCTATGAGACAAGATCATTGAAATAAAAGACATGAAGCGGTTACAAGGTTTTGATCATAGGCATCTTTGTAGGACTATTTATGTTTGGTGGAATCATCGTGTGTGCAGTGTTGAGGTCAGGCGAAGGTTACTAGGTAAAACAGACCGGAGAGGTTGACTGATGAGGTTGTGAACCTTAGTCGACTGACATGGCTTGGACATATGTTGGGCAGGCCTATCCACCGCCTACCTCAACGTGCCAAGCTAGTTAAAGTTAGATTCGTTTGGAACAAGGTTCAGAGTGTTCAGGTTAAGACATCACGCCATTCGATGAAGTCCCTGTGTAGAGATGTAGACGGCGTGGTTGGACTTTCAGAGACGAAAGGAATCAGCGGTTGAGGACTCTTGTCGACATGGCTAGAAATTGGTCACAATGGTTCGTATGGATTCAGCATTGGACAGCTTCTAAAGCTTCGATATCTTCAATTTCTTGATTCTGTCACACAACTTAGTCTACTTTCATATCACTACTTTTTCTTTGTTTACTAATGTGAAGTGTGGCAACTCGAACCGATGCTGTTGTGAGTGAGATTCTGCATCGACTTCGTCTGTCTGTTCTTCTATTATACGTTACATTAGGCAGCTATTAAGATATATTATGGAAGCTCGGGCATAAAGGTTAATGATTAGCTAGACTATATTGGAGAGAAGTGGTTCTGAGATTCATAGGGGGGGGGGGGGGGGAATGACTGAAGGGATTGGCGGAACCACTGAAGGAACAAATCTACTGGTTTTCAGCTACTATTCAGTTGTCCACTATCCACTACTCAAGGCCTAGCTGAAGCACTGAAATAGGGCCTTCAACTGTTGACAAAGAAAGTGACTTAAAACGGTTCAGAGTTTCTGGATCAGGTGGTCAAGCACTTGGGATACTTGAAGACTGTTCTCTTGGATTATTAATCAAGTTATTTGAAGTCTTAGCCAATGTATGGAAAACAGATATGGTTTTCTGTGATTGACTTAGTGACTCACTGACTGTTCTACTCTTCAGGAATGGAGAAGACGTTCGCTTGTGATAACCATAGGTTCTAGGATCCTAAGTTCTGTAACTATCAGGTGTCAGACCTAGTTGTGGGTATATCGACAACATATTGACTCTGAACTAGGTTCTGGAACACAGGAACACTTACCCTAGTGCCTGATACTATTTATATGTGTTGATGTGGAGGTGGCAGTTGACTTCGTTGATTCAGGTATGTCGTATGACTGTGTCTCACTGAAGGTGGTGTTGCTCTGGAGTTTCTTCCCTTACTTGTAGAATGGTTAGACTATCATGATTTGCTTTTCATTGAGAACTGAGTAAGTACACTTAACTTTACTATTCTTCACTTCTGTCCAGTACTCATCTTCATCTGTATCCTGTTCATTTCAATCTTTCTTTTCTTCTTCCTCTAATTTTACTTTTGACCTATTTATTAATATAGATAGTTTGTTTATACTGAGTGATGATTGAAGGTGAATTGAAAATTTCGACCGCGGGTGGATTCGAACCAGCGACCATCGCGTTTCCAGAGTGATTCTCTACCAACTAAGCTATGAAGTTCGAGTGCTGACCAGATTTTTTAGTTCACTTCAATTATGAAGGGTTTTTTCCCGACTACTGTGTGAATTTCCAACGCGTTACTATCGCCTTATCGTACAGTGGTTAGTTGCCCAGTCAGGACCACCGTTGGCAATCCCAATGTCACTGAAATAGAGGGCCGACGAAGAATTGCATTGACTATTTGAGATGGGATTGGTAGTTTCGCAGTCAACCTTAGTGAGTTGGTAGAGTACCGGGAAACTCGATAGTCGCTGCTTCGAATCCCTTCGCGATTCAAATTTTCATTTCCCTTCAATCATCACCCAATATCAGTATACTAGTCTGCGAAACCACAGTTTCTATCTCAGTTAGTCAAAATGATGATAAGAGATAGTGTGTGTCAAATCTCCATAGTCACAATGTCATTCATCTCCTCTTCCCAATACTAAAAGTGGAATAATCGCTTAAGTATGTGTGCACAAACTGCCAACCCTTATTACTTGTGATGATATTTAGTAACTATGATGAAAATAACAGTGTTCATTATATCCTTCCTACTTGTAGTGACATTTTCAAAAGGGGGTGGTGATGATGGTATGATTGTTGATACTGTGTCATCATGTTGTCTATACCCTGAATCTTTAATCATAGCAAATACTGATTTGTTTAAATGAAGCTTAACAACTTTTGCGAAGATTGTCTATTTCGACATTTCGTTTTGTATATGATAACGAAATTGAATTTAAAAGAGTTTTCAATTAGTTTGAAAAGTTTTGTAATATGAACTTTACAAATTTCCTAATCGACTTTTAAAACCAGTGGGTCATGCGTCCGATCCTGTTTCACTAGGTTTATGTAACGCTTTTCTTTGTCTTATCGATTTAGTGTTGTTTATATTATGATATGATATGAGAAATTGAAGTTGGATTGAGGGTGTAGATTGATTTTTTGTAAGGTGGGGATTTATGGAATACATTCTGTAGAGCGTGTATAACTGAGAGAGGCAGTAGTGTGAACAAGTTCAATTCTACTGAAGCCACAGGAAGCTATAATCAACCTGTGTGTCTGTCTACCTTAGTAACTCTTCTTGACTGTTATATGATCATATCATCCTGTTTCTATCTAAGATGTTTATTCCTTCTTCACTCTTATTTGCTCGTATCATTTCTCGATCACATCGACTACTTTTACCTAACTACCTAAACTTCGAATATTCTGCTCATTTATTTATTCAATCCTATAATGTTAATCCCTTCAATAAATTGATTATTACCCTCCGTGATTAGTTGGTTGGAGGGAATTAGCAGGAACTTCTTGATTGTTGCACTCACTTGTCAGATATATGCGTATCTTCAACCTCAAACACACCCATTACCTCACCAGGGACCCAACCCTAACATCTTAAGTTTTCTCAACGAGTGCTTTACCATTCAGACACTGGTTCGAATACAGATGGTCCATTTTCTTACTCGACTTTTGAAACCAGTGGGTCATGCGTCCGAATCCTGTTTCACTAGGTCTATGTAACGCTTTTCTTTGTCTTATCGATTTAGTGTTGCTTATATTATGATATGATATGAGAAATTGAAGTTGGATTGAGGGTGTAGATTGACTTTTTTTTTCCTGTCATATATAGTTAGCAAGATGTCGTGGAATTAGGAATACCATTGTCATTGTTTAGAGTAGGGAAACAACTACCGGGGAGGGGGTGGGTTAAGGATTAAACATAATATAAAAACAGAGGAGTTGTTGAGAACAGTGAGGATTTTATGCTGGGCGTTCTTTTTTGTGGACACAGTGCCGATGTGAACTTCTGAATGGCTACTGCTGTTGTGACTATACTCAGATACTTTAATCTCATTCTCTTTTAATGATTTCATCGAATTATACAGAGAATTTTGTGTTGCTGAGTGATCTGAATTCTCGAGCTGTAGATGCATTTCCCTGCTCAATTCCTTGAGAAGCTGGCTGTGGCACGCCCACAAGTTTCGAGTAGAGAGCCTTCAATAAGGTGATGTACTTACTCGGCACGCCTTTCAGACATTGCCATAAGACCTCTCAATTAACGGAGTCGAATGTCACCGCTTTCTGGTCGAGAAATACATCTAGTGTGGGGCATCGGTAAGCGTGCCTATGTTCCAGAGAAGAGCCTGGCGCAGTGTGAATATTCAGTCGATACACCCACGGCTGGGTCTAAAGACTGCCTGCCTGGTTTTCTCGGGCTTGTTGTTTGCGAGCTGCACTAAGACGTCGAAGAATTATAGAACCTAGAATTATGAGTAACTATGTTCGTCAGGCCTACTCCTCTGTGGTTATCACAAGAGGACTTCTCGCCTTCCTTGAAGACTGGAATAATCAGTGTTTCAGACCAGTCAGAAGGGATCCTATTTGATTTGCACATCCTGGTTAACACTTCAGTTAACCTGACTAAGAGCACCTTACACCACTATCCTTGTATACTTCTGGAGTTATTCCGTCTGGTCGTGCCGCCTTCCCGTATTTAGATTACCTACTGCTTTCTCGACTTCTGCAAGTGTTGGTGGGCCTATCTCAATGTTTTATTCAGGATTCGACTGGATAGCGGGCAACGTGCTGGTGGATGGAGGCCATTTCAACTGTTCTTCGAAGTGTTCTGCCCATCATCCTTCCAGTCAATGAATCTCTGATCTTTCCTTCTCCGCTATAGTCTCACTTTCCAGATACCATTCTACATCATTTTTTGGAGCTGAGTACATCGGATATATTATACACCCAGTTGTAAAATACACTCGAAAACATTACTTAGCCTATTTTAGTAAGGCGAAAATTGAAATACATCTCCATCTGAATAACAGAACACTTTGTGAATTCAAGTCATCCAGAAACTTGAAGAAAAACTACTCTCTACTCAAAAAGGGATTGAGATTAAGGCATTTGAGTAGATTGAAAGCAAAATATCATTCAGAAGTTCAAATCAGGTGTATATGTTTAAAAATAAAGTATATTCATTCTCATCTTTTGTAAAAACTTGATACAGTCTGCTGATTTTCGTTTCATGTATTACTTTTTCTACATTTTTTCTTCTTTGATTATCATAATAATCTGTTCATTGATACCTTCTCTTCAACGCAAGTTACTTTATCGATCACCTTTTCTTCTCACTCCTTACTTATTTCATGATTCTTTTTGACCGCTTTTTCCACTTGTTTTGTAAATAACGACTGATATTCATTTCTTAACCATACAGTATATAGAAAGGGTTAGAAGGTTGGTCATTTTGTTTACTCAGAGCTATCTGGTCTCCTTTTCTTCTAATGATGTGTATCGTTTGGCTCATTGGTTTGCTAGTTAACGCTCTGGTGTTTGGAGCAATCGTTTCTGAGGTCGAGTCCCAGTGAAGGTGGGGGTCGGGTGACGAGTACGTTCAGCTGAGGAGTCTCGAATGCAATGAAAGTTATTTCATAGTTTCCACTGCTAGCCATGATCCACCATTACTATCAGTTTGAAATTCCAGGCATTCACTCAGGATCTGATATGCCAATAACTGATTGACTAAATCAAAGGAGAATCTTACACACAACTGCATGAGCTCCAAACTTTAGAAGATTTTAAGGAGTAAATACATCTGCACTATTGTTACCAATTTTCAGGCATGTTGTTAAGAGTGCTTAACCACTTATTCCTTTCGTCTTTGGGACATCAATCAGTCAGTCTACATCCACCCACACGGCTCATGACAACCGTGAGGGACTTCATCGACTGGTCTCACTTCTTGGTAATGCCACCAGCAACCCTTTTCTATGCTAATTGAACCTCTCTCAGCCTCACACGTCGAGATAAGCGATGGCTAGGGATGCGCAGTACATATTCAAGTCATCTCAGTAGACTAACGTCCACAACTTCATCAATTGATTTGTATGTCTTGCCTAATACTCTTCCTGGGCAATGCTACAAAGTCAACGATGTGAAATTAAAAATAACAACATTTGATCGTTTATGACCACCTAGTAAATGCTGAAAACAATTTTAATGTCATCTATGGAGTTTACGCAAGCAACCATTGAGAAGGTTTGCTTCACCTACCTTTTGCGTTTGTGTTGACACTTGTTAGCAAGGCATATCAGCAGCCTCGATGGAATTGATCTTCCCTGTGTTATTCGAACCCACATCACACAGAGCTATAGTGTCTACGGAATCCTATCAATTATTCAACGCTAGTTGAATAACTCAGTGGTAACATTGTTATCTACAGCCCTTAGTGATGCGAGTTTGAATTTCAGACTAGAACATCAATTCCGTCAAATTTAAGCAGGAATCCTAGGACTACGTTTTTCGGTTGATAGTCTTCAACTAACTAACATCCATCAAAGTGCATGGCGATGCTGAACCGCCTCACCTGGTGGTGTGATTGTAAAGTGATCGATTCGCAATTAGGACTGCACAACATGAAGTTGTTTTCCCTCCAATGAACCAATCAGTGGATGAATGTAACATCTTGATTCTTATAGTTATTCGTTTACAGAACATAGTGATTAACTTTCTTCCTCTTATAAATTGGCATTCAGTTCAATAAAACAACGGAAAATCACAAGTATGTCAATAAACAGTAACAACTACTATCCATTGTACAAGAAGTGGCATGGCCATGGCATAATGGATAACTCCTTGGCGTTTAAAGCGATAAGTACGAGGTTCGAGTTTCACCATTGAGAAAAACATCGCTACGTACAGTGGTGTAGGTACATCCAGCTGATGAGTCCTAAATAGGACGAAATGTCTTTCCTGGATTCTTATGCTATCCACAACCAACCAAATTACCGTTAAATAACAGCTGGATTGAATCTTCTATTAACGGAAGACTCTAACGCTTCGTTAGATCCTTAATCACTGGTTTTCTTGTGTATCAGGACTACTTCTCAAAATACTTCAATTTTTTTTTCTGTTTTTCATTTCTTAATCCACCCCCTACTCTACTTAGGTGTTAGATGATGGTGGTGACTTAACTCATCGTCTACACAAAGATTATAAAGAATTATTGTCTGGAATTTCTGGAATTGTTGAAGAAAGTGTTACAGGTGTACATCGTCTTTATCAATATGTGAAATCTGGTACACTTGGTGTACCAGCTATGAATGTTAGTGATAGTGTAACAAAATCGAAATTTGACAATTTCTATCTATGCAAAGAATCAATTGTTGATGCGTAAGTTTTATTTTATGAATGTAGATCCATTTCATTGTTAATCTATACTGAAATTGTTCATTGTTTTCAAATTTGTGCGAGTTTTTGAAAAATTCTCATTGTGTACACATATAAGTAAATAATATTGTTTTCATGTAGATATTCATCATGAACTGATATCAATTGGGGAACCGTTAAAAATCTGGGAGCAATAGACAGGTGTTTCGTCTTGCTATGGGACCTATCGGCAGTACGTACTCACGACTAGGCTACGGGTCGAAGCTTACAGCTACTGGGTCAGCATTCAATGATTCACAGTCTTTGATGAATACTAACTCAACTAGTCGATCCCTAACCGGGTCGTGGGTACGTACTGCTGAGAAGTCCCATACTAGGACGAAACAGCTGGTTGTCCAGTGCTCCCAGATTTTCAATGGTTCCCTAACTGACGTTACTGCATGATGAATACTACTTCTAAATTAAAAAAAATCCCCATTCATCTCAAAAATATATTACTGTATAGTCCTCATTAGTGACTTGCTTCTAGATAGATATCACGAAGCTCTAATGAGAATCCATGACCTGTGGGGTCAACCAGTCGGAAGTGAAGTGGATGCTATAGCGTGAATTCACAGAAGTTGGAAACTGTGAACCATTGAACTCTGCCATAGTAACTTAATGGTTAAAGCGTTCACCGTGAAACCTGAAGCTCGTGAGCTTAATCCCTAGCCAACTGGTGAGTGCGTAATGCTGAGGAGTCTCGCAGTAGGATGCAACAGCTGTTCATTACTCTCCGGTTGTCATCTTCAAATGGTTTCTTGTCTCGCACACCTTTGTATACTTTGATATGGACCTATTCTCTGTGTTCCTACTGTGAAGTGTGCCAACTTGACTTGATGCATTTGTATTTTCCACGTTCTAGATTGTGTATGTCGTCTGTGTATGGTTATTTATCCGATTGTAGAGCGAGATTGTCTTGTAAATGTTGACTGACTGACTGACAGTACAGTTTTCGAAGTTAGTCTCTTTACTATCCATTTGTCATATCTCCGTGTCTTATGTAGAGATGGATGTCGGTTTATAGAATTTGAGGAGTATTCAGTGTATTTTGTGTTGAAATGTGTGTCTATTCATATTGATGTAAGACAATATCAAGTATATTCTGTGATTGAAAGGAGGATCCAGTTGACATGAGAGTTGAATTGATCTTTGCTATGTAGAATTATAATTTCTCAAAGTATGATCTATTTCTTCTAAGGCGTGCTAGTAGTAGTAGAAGTAGTGGAGTAATGTGACTATGGTAACGGGGTTGTTTAGCATAGAAAGTGGTTCAATACTTTCTGGTCATGAGGTGTGGTGTGGTGTGGTGTGGTGTGGTGGTAGGGTTACATTGTCAGCTGAGATAAATAAGATTGTGACTGTTAAAAATGGCGAGTAATGAAATAGTTTTTTTTTCTTATTTGACTGTCTTAGCGGATTGTTTCTCATTGGTGTAAGTAGTAGTGAATGTATTACTGGCTGTAATAACAAGTATGTATGTATCTTCATGTTTACTTGTAAATTCATCATCATGAATATTAACATAGAACCAGGCATTACTGCGTATCGGTCCGAGTTCCCACACCTCATATCAGTAGATCAAGTAGAAAGGTAGTGAGTGAGGTGAAAGATGAAGATAAGAAAATTGAGTCAGAAGAAATATAAAGAACTCAGAGAGAGAGAGAAAGAGAGAGACAGAGAGAAAGGAAGAATGAGAAAATGGTGAGAATCGGTATAGCATCGTTAAGATGAGGATAATGTGTGTGGGGATATATCTGCGCCATTGACACCGGTTCTGAGCCATGTGATCACCTAGAGTCAGTCTCCAACCAGTGGTTTCTCTTGTCCCGCCTACCCCAACCACCTAGTCTGCATCGCCCCACTCACATGGCTCACACCAACAGTCAGAGACTTCATACATTGGTGCCATGTTTTAATGTGGCCACCTCGAGCCTTTTTCCAGCCTGAATCTACTTCGATCAACATTGTTTGACGAGGCAGACGGTGACTAGGCATACGTAGTAGGTGTCCCAACCATCTTAATCGATGAAGTTCATAACCTCATCAACTAATTACCTCCACTACCTAAAACTCTACTCCTGACTTCTGCATTACTCACATGGTGTGGTGACACCACGGAATACGGTGGCCTATACTAAGAAGTCAACGGTGGTCAAACACTTGAAGCCTTCTCATGTCTTCCACCTTCAATGGCCATGTCTCATAGCCATACAGTAGAACAAACCGAACTGATATGCAGTATACGCGACCCCTGATAGACAATCGAATATCACGACGGCACCACAAGTGGCTGAAGTTGGCGAAAGCCAGTCAATTGAGCCTTTTGTATCCGTGAAGAGGTTTCATCTGCCACTGAACCATCAGGGCAAGGCTGATCCTACTTCACCTCTAAGGTAAGTGAAGTAGTTGACACACTCAACTACGACACTCACTCTCTACTGTTAGCCATGGCACTGCTGAAGACCAATCCTAGAGCAACAATTTGCATTCGTGTGGTGAGAGATGCGTCCTAAACATTCTCGAATTGCTACTCAAAGTGTTCAGAAGACTCTGCATCTTGTCAGTGTCTTCATATAACATTACAATGTCATCTGCATATTCTGGGTCTAACGAAAATTCTCGTGTGCATAGGTCAACGTCTGTGTAATCAGGTGATGAGAGGGAGATTTCCATAAGAATATCCATGATAAAGTGATGGATTCCGGCTCGACTTGAAGACGGTAACTTCGAAGGTGGATTTCGTTGATTGGCAGATTGCAGTGGCTTATTTCACGGCAGTGGAGAAGAGATAAATTATCATGATGGGCTGTCAACTTGGCAAGACAACTCAGAGGCTAAAGCATATATATATATATATATATATATATATATATATATAATTACTTTTCCTGTGAGTTCCTAGTGGAACATAGGTCTTCGGTAATACTTCTCCATTTCACTCTTTTCCCTTCAGTCTTTTCAACCGCACTCTACGACTCCCCATAAGCTTTTATTTCTTCCTCACATGATCTCCTCCATGTTAGTCTCAGGCGCTCAACTCGTCGTTTCCCCTTTGGGTTCTATTCGAAAGCCTGGTGCGTGATATCCCCAGTCGGCATTCTCGGTGTATGCCCAGTCGATCTCCACTTTCTTCTGCATGTATGTTGTGTGATAGGTTCTTGGTCGGTTCCTTGCCAACCAGCCAGAGTTCCTTGTTGCTTATTCGTATTATTCTGGCCATCCGATCTGATCTTCAGTATCGAGTGAGCGTAGGTAGCAGCTGTTGATGTATGTCTGTAGTTTGTTGCAAATGCTTTTTGTTACGCCCCAAGTTTCTCAGTCATCACATAGAAGCACTGACTTGACTGGATTGGTGTTGAAAATCCGGATGTTGTTCACGCTTTATGCTGCGTGCAGTCGATCTGTATACTAATTTCAGATTGATGAAGAAACGCCTCTCTTGGTGTCTTTCCGATCATGGTTTTGACATCCTCGTGTGTGCCTGTGCCGCCTGTAGTTGAAACGTTACTGCCTAGGTACGTGGGTAGGTGAAAGAGACTACTTCCCTAGGTTCCTCCCATTGATGGTCATTGGTGCTTACTGTTGATGTTGTTGTTTTTTGGGTATCTTTATCACTTCTGTCTTCTCTACTTTCACTTGAAGTCCCGTTTTCGCTGCTTCTTCTGTCAACTTTTTAGTTTTTTGCCTGTAGATCTTCGAGTCTGTGCGACATTAGACATAAATTATCATCGGCGAAATACAAATCTTTTAGGGTCTATATATATATGGGATGCTTCACATAAGTTCCGTTAACTGAAATCGTATGTCTATGAAATTCACCCTCCGGGTTTCTGGGAGTCCTGTGGCTAGTTCTGATGGCGTTGCTTGTGTAAGTGCAGAATTAAGTTTGTGGGCAAATAATCCTCTGTTTGACCGGACCTCAGTTATTAGTCACCTGTACATGGTTCATCTGAACAGCACAGTGAGCTTGTGAAAATCCACTGGGTTTTGCTAACCTTCGAATGTCTGTTATTGGCTGTCTTAAGCGGTGTTTTTACACCAATCTGAATATCGAGTCATCTAGTCATCTAATATTCATAAATATTCCCGATGTTTTCATCTTGCAAGCGAACGCTTCTGGTGCTTGTCTATGATTTCTTTGTCGTATCGATTGAGGCTGAAACAGCTATGAGGTCATCGCAACAGAAACGGTACTTCTCGAATGATCCTGTTCAACACTGGCTGCGTCCACCATTTGTATGATTTCGGCAGACAGCAGATACTAAAATGTTTATTCTAATGTTTGAGGTTAGTGCTGCCTAGAAGAAACAGATTTCGAGATGATTGTAGAAGACTATAGTCTTTGTTGGTTGGCGAGTGTTCTAGATCATGGACACCACAATATACCTTTCTAACTGACTCGGTGTCTTCTTCAGCTGAGCATAGAAGTGACCTACCATGACCCCATATAAGCCTTTCGCCATATGTATACCAATTCTCAACTTTTAATAGAACTCATCCTTTGTATCATGCGAACTGCAGTCAGTAGGCGCATAAATGGTGACTAAAAATAATCATCGACTTGTCTCATCGTTCTTCTCATTTCTTAAATACACATTCAGTGGAACAGCTCATTGAGGGCTATCGCATGGTATCTATTGGAGGTGTTGTCTGTTTGTTGCAAAATCTGCTCCAATACCTGCACCACGGGAGCCATCCATCAATTCTTCAAACCTTCATGAAATAAATTCCATAGATTTGATGTATTTTATAGATGTGGTGTAGTAGGTGATAAGACTGATGTTCTGTACATACATCGCACAAACAGCAGGTGATAGAGTATGAAGCTGAGAGAACTTTCAGTGGCCTGATTCTGCTGACAGAAGCATGTAGTGATGTGAAGCGAAGGGATAGGGATAGGTTGGTTAGGCTATCGTTATAATTTCGAAAACTACTATGTGTTGTGGACCTTAACGATGCATAGATATCGAGTGTCAGCCACCAACACTCAACAAATTCCTAGTTGATCCCCGATTTGACTCATCAGTGGAGAAGACACAATGGATGTGTAGAAACGTGTATTGCGGTGGAAAGGTCGAAGAACTCAAAACGAAGGGAAATACAACTAATATATAGGTAGGTCACCGTATTTTGATTAGTCACTCTCCAGACTCCTCTTTACTCTGTACCCATATATTACATCCATCTTCAAAAAAATGTTATTTGGGCTGAGAATGGGCATCTATCTGACTGACGCAGAGTAAGTTTCTCCTTGTTTACTGAGGGACGGATCAGTAGTCTTCTCAGTATTCTTTCGACGAGCAGGTACATGGGCGTGGAGGTCAGCTATGAAGTGAAGAGATTGACCTATGGATGGAGGATGTGATGTGCAGCGGTGTGGTGTTATGTGGAGAGTAGTCTGTGTACCCTGTGTACCATGTGGTTGTGTGTATTGGCGGCAAAAATTGTCTTTATGGCCCCTAGCATTACATTCTTAGCATGGATGTTGTTTGTGTAGACATCTGGGCAGCACAGTGGCATGAAGAGAATGGAAGTGTCTTTTTGGACGGTTGGTTGGTGTATCGTATGAGTTGTTAGTGGGGTGATGAATTGGTGAGGTAAGGTGAGAGGGTGGGTGGTGTGGTGTGTGGTGTGGAGGAGTGAGATGTCTGGCGAAGTGTATGTACTTGAGAACCACCACGGTGGTGTCGGTCGGGATTGGACTGCCGAGTGGTTGCAGTTCTGCTAACATGTTATGGAGTGTGTGTGTAGTGTGAGGTTGAAAGTGTGATTAGGTGGGTCTTGAGGCGAAATCATGTTTGAGTATTTGTGGAAGTGATATTGAGGAAGCTTTGGAAGTAGTAGAGGTACGTTTGAGGCATGATGTTGACCAGTGAAGTGCCGTTTGAAAGTGGTGTGATAACGCGTTAATCAAGTATTGAAATTGTGATTGGTATTGGGATTGTAGTGAAATTCAGTGATGTTAGTTTTGATGGCATGAAGTGAAGGAGGTGTGAAGAGTAGGGGGGGTTGGGGTGGGGGTATAGTAGTCGATGGGATTGAGTAGTAGAAATTTTGTATTGTGTTAGGATGTCGATGATGGTGATTTGTTGTTTGAGTAAGTTGTTGAACAATGAATAGTCGATTTCCCAATATCCCATTTTCGTCATCAATTCTTATGATTCGAAAACTCTTATGCCGATATGCTCGTCAACGATACACGTATATCGGGTGTCAGCTATGGAGCTGGAAGTGTGTTGGCAGTTGTTACTCTGAGGATTCTGATTATTATTATTCGTCCCTTGGGTTCCTAATGAAACAAAGGGCCTCAGTGGCACGTCTCCATTGCATTCTGTTCTCTGCAAACGTTTGAACCTGGTTCCACAACAGTCCACAAACTCTCATTTTTCCTCACACATCTCCTACTTGTCACCCTCAGCTGGGACGCGCAACTCTTTGCTTCCCATGGGAGTTCCACTGGAGGGTTTGACGGGTGATGTTTCCAGTTGGCCTTCTCAGTGTATACCCAATCCAATCGATCTCCACTTGCTTCGAGTGTATATTTGTTGAGTGATAGGTTGTTGCTTCGTTGGTTTGTTGGTTGGTTGCCAGACTATAGTTTCTTGTTGCTTATTTTCATTATCCTGGCCTTCTGATCTGATCTTGAGTAACAAGCCAGTGTAGGTGGCAGTTGTTGATGAATGTCTGTTGGAAATGCCTTTCATGACGCGCCAAGCCTCTGATTCTTTCGTAGTCAAATTTTCATTGGAGTTGGCTTTTCACCTATGATGCATTTTCAATTTACTGTTGATTGTTATGCGTTATGATACTCGCGTATACGAAGCCCAACCATTAGACATCTTTGGTTGTTACAGTTTATATCTCTAGCATGTCAATGTAGAGCGTATAGTTCAAGAATGTGCAATTGTTAGACCCAGTTCAATTTGAAATGAATAAATGAAAGTGACAATTTTTCATTTCACTCTTGTATATCTTGTCACATATTAATGAGTGTCTGAAAGGGGTCCCTTTGTTAACCACTGTCCATCATTAATATATAGTAACATAATCTTATTAATTACTTCAATGAATATTATTTTACCGATTATTTTTTTTCACCTAAATTTTTTCTAGCCTGAAACGAACTACAGACATGATGATTAGTGGTAAAACTGTACTGGTATGTGGTTATGGAGAAGTTGGTAAAGGTGTTTGTCAAGCTCTTAGAGGATTAGGAGCATTTGTTTGCATTTCTGAAATTGATCCAATCTGTGCTCTTCAAGCCTGGTATGTTATTCATATTACTTAAATGTGTTTTTATTCAATATATCATTATTGTTTTTATTTTGGTATACATTATGATAACACTGGACAGCTGTTTTGCCTTAGTATGCGACTTCTGACCAGTGTGCATTCATAACCCTACTCTCCTGGGATTGAACCCTTGATCTTCTGGTTCCTTGGATAGCAATTAGAATCCAATGATACATATTTCTAACTTGTGTCAGTTCATGACATGGTCTGATCACTACTCAATGTCATCGTTGAGTATTTATTCTCACGTCCACCAGGTTAGCCCCAACGGTCACAGCTTCAGGAATCACCTGTCTTGTGAAATAATGGAGAATATTTGAAGCTCAGGTGAATGGTCTTGGTTGTATACTGTTCTCTGAGCTGAGTTGCTTAATTGTGAAGCTTTCATCGCCTTGCTAAACGATATCATCAGAGAATTTCTAGAAGCTTGAGATTCGGGTCAGTCAGCAATCAATAGATGTATAGACATAGACCCGATCTACCAACCAATAAGAAAAATGATAAACGACAGAAAGGTGAGAGGCGAAGCATAGGGACAGCCAACAGGAAAGTCTATACAATCAATGACACAACAATCGAAGGAAGCAACCAATCACAGACCACACCGTCAGAGCAAGCTACTAAATCACTGACGGAGAGATATTAACAGCTGACTTCATAGTGAAGTTAGTGCTGATGATGTCGTCTAGCCAGGCGATGAAAGCCTCACGATTGAACAACCTAGCTCAGAGAACACAATACAACCAAGATCACATGTCTTGTTTCAATATGCCAAAAGCTTAAACAAATGGAAACATAGCTAGTAGGCAGGTTAGAAGGATAGTAATCGTCTGAATAATCAGGAAGTAGTGGATTATAATTATTGTCTCTTGGGTTCCTAATGAAACAAAGGGCTTCAGTAGCACGTCTCCAGTGCATTCTGTTCTCTGCAATCTTTGAACCTGGTTCCACAACAGCCCACAAACTCTCATTTCTTCCTCACATGATCTCCTCCATGTCACCCTCAGCTGGAACGCCCAACTCGTTGCTTCCCATCTGGGTTCCACTGGAGGGTTTGACGGGTGATGTCTCCAGTTGGCCTTCTCAGTGTATGCCCAATCCAATCGATCTCCACTTGCTTCGAGTGTATATTTGTTGAGTGATAGGTTGTTGCTTCGTTGGTTCGTTGCCAGTCAGCCAGAGATCCTTGTTGCTTGTTCTTATTATTCTAGCTATCTGAGCTTCAGTATCGAGCCAGCGTAGATGGCAGTTGTTGATGAATGTGTGTAGTTTGTTGGAAATGCCTTTCGTAACCCACCAAGTCTCTGAGGTATACAGAAGCACTGACTTGACTGGATTGGTGTTGAAAATCTGGATGTTGTTCACGCTTTGTGCTGCGTAGAGTGCAGAAGATCTCCACACTGGTTTCAGGTTGATGAACACCTGTCTTGCTGTCTTCCGATCCTGGCCGACGTTGACATCCTCATCTGTGCCACCTGTAGTTGAAACAGTGCTGCCGAGGTGGTAGGTGAAAGAGGCTACTTCTTTTAACGTTCTCCCATTGATGGTGATTGGAGCTTGTTGTTGTTGTTGGTGGTGGTGGTGTTGGTTAGGTATCTTCATCACCTCTGTCTTCTCTACATTCACTTGAAGTCCCATCTTCGCTGCCTCTTCTGTGAAATATATATATATATATATATATATATATATATATATATAAAAATAAGGATTTCGTGGTTATCCATCAGGAACATTGGACCATTGTTTTGGCCTTACTCAGCAAGCATTCACTGACGACTTAGTTAGTACATTGTAGTTAATATCAATTCATAATATTATAACGTGTCACTGACGGGTACCTGGTCTCATTTATATATCGTATAGTTTTGTTGTCTGAGTCTTTCTTATTTTCTATTCTATATACTTTAGCATGGATGGTTATCGTGTTGTAAAAGTGGAAGAAGTTATACGATCTGTCGATATTGTCGCTACATGTACAGGTAATAAAGGTGTTATAACACGAGCACATATGGATCAAATGAAAAATGGTTGTGTGTTATGCAATATGGGTCATTCGAACACTGAGATTGATGTTGTAAGTTTTTATTCAAGTATTTTAGTGGTATGATAGTCTATTTTTGGTAATAAAAAATAATCATAATATTATATATGGAGATTTTTTTTTGAAAATGTTTACAATTAAATATTCATATGAAAGGGGGGGGTTGCATTGTCTATACGTTTAGCAGACACTTTCTTAATGTATCTTGACCTTTTCAATAAACTGTAAATTGAAACACTAATCTCTAACTTGTCAAAATATGAATAGTATTGACTCATTATTATTATTATTATTGTTTTTATATCATACCGTCGTTGGTTAGACCGAATTGATCTGTCTCTATTGGCATATGGAATCTTGTGTGGATGCCTCGATATTGCTTGAGTGGTGGTGTAGTGAATAACGCCTTGGCGTTTGCAGCGATCGCTCTCGAGTCCGAGTCCCGGTGGGGACAACACCACTCACTGGGAGAAAGGTATATTCAGCTGACGAGTCCGAAATAGGACAAAATGCGCATCCTGAATTCCACTCCTGACCACGATCCATTATTATTATTATTATTATTATTATTATTATTATTATTATTATTTGTACTGGGTGATGATTGAGGATGAGATGAAAATCTGGACCGTGGCCAGTGGTAACTGGTTCCAATCCAGAACATACATACATGCATAACATAGACTGAGACATCGACTTAGATGTAATAACATGGAAGTGAACGCGTTAACCATTCAGCCACTGGGTTGGTTTCCAGTGGTTCACAATTTCCAACTTCTATCAATTCACGACATAGTGCGACTATCACCCAACGTCTTCAGTTAGCATCCGCTTCACTTCCGACTGTTTGAGAAGCCATGACCTGTGGGGTCAACCAGTCGGAAGTGGATGCTAACTGAAGACGTTGGTGATAGTCGCACTATGTCGTGAATTGACAGAAGTTGGAAATTGTAAACCACTGAAAACTGACCAGTGACTGAATGGTTAACGTGTTCGTCGTAAAACCTGAAGGGCCTGAGTTCGATCCTTGGGGGTGTCGTGGGTGCGTAGTGCTGAAATTTCCCATACAAGGACGAAACAGCCGGTTGTCCAGTGCTCCCAGATTTTCAGTGATTCCCCAACTGATGTCAGTAGTCCATCATGAATACTACTTCTAAATTAAAAATCCCCATTCATCTCAAAAAGACATAGAAGTGAACAGTTTTTATTGGTCAAATGGTAATGCAAAGGGTAGATATGGTTATTCAAAATTGAATGGGTTGAAGATAGGTTAATTGAGTTTGGATAATAGTAGATTTCATATAGAAAAATAATTATAGTAACAACAATAATGTTGACACAGGTGAGAACTGAATCGATTGAGCGTCGATTGCATCACTGAAAACAAGATAGTTAACAGTACTTATGCAGACAATAAGAAAAAAAAGTGTATATTGAGATGAATTATAATGATAACATTGGTAATAAGAATAAGGTGAGTGAATCCCGGTGAAGATAACATCACTCACTGGGCGGCTCTTGTACATCCAGCTGACGAGTCCCAAATAGGACGAAGTGCGCATCCTGGATTTCACTGCTAACCACTGCCCATCATTACTCTACATGGTTAAAACACAGGCAATATCGAGGCATCCTCACAGGAGCCCATCTGCCAATAGAGACCGATCAATTCGGTCCAATCAACGACAGTATAATGCAAGGAATAACAATAAGGTTATTTAGTCGAAACAAATCATAGAAGAAAAACAAAGAAAATATCAGATAGGTGATAACTAGGAGAGAACATCAAGTTAGAAAGACGAAATATGATTAGACAATGTTGTAATGCCTACCATGACAGATTCAAGCTGACTACCACTTCCTTCTAAATGCATAGGTTTGGTTTGGCAAGTCGAAACGCACAGGCTTCTGCATATACCGGCAACTTCTTATTTTGTTGTCTATCGATAACCTTAAATGACTAACAGGTATCAATATCATGTCCATAGTCTATTAGATGTTTCGTTATCAAGCTCCTCGGTGTCTTCTTCTCTGCATGCTTCAGTCATTCGGGTGGACAGATGCCTCTCTGTACGACCAATGTATTTGCTTCCGCAGGTACATTCGAATTGATATATGCATTTAGATGTGTCGAGAATCGGAGCCCTGTCTTTCCTTGATTGTTTCAGTAGCCTTTCAGTGATGCTGAGGAGAACCAGTTTAGCAGCGTAATAAGTCCTTCTGTGATAGACTTCTCCAATCTTCTTATTACTTCTAGCACTTTGTTAACTTTTGAATGACAAGGTGATTTAGATTCAGTGCACTGTACTCCACTCCACTCAGCATAAAGTGTGAACTAAATCCGAAGTTTAACACTAATATCAGTCAAGTCAGTGCTTCTACGTGATGCTTCACAGACTAGGCACGTTACGAAGAGCATTTCCAACAAACTGCAGACATGCATCATCAACAGCTGTCACCTACGTTCATTCTATACTGAAGAGTAGATCAGATGGCCAGAATAATGAGAATAAGCAAGGAGGAATTCTGGTTGACTGGCAACCAACCAACAACCTTGTCGCTCAACAAATATGCAGAAGAAGAGAGTGGAGATGGATTGGACATAGACTGAGAAGACCATTTGGGAACGTCACGTGTCAGGTCAGGCCGTCGAGTGGAACCCAAATGGGAAACGACAAGTCGAGCATCCGAGTGTGACATGGAGGAGATGGTGTGAAGAAGAAATGAAGGGTTATGGACAGTCGTAGAGCCAGGTTAAAAAGGCTGCAGAGTAAAATGTTGATGTGCTACTGAACCCCTATGTTGCACTAGGAACCCAAGGGACAAATAATAAGTAATAATAATAATAATAGTCACTTCATTCCAAACAATATTTATGACAATGTATTTTGAGATGAATGGAGATTTTTTAGTTTAGAAGTAGTATTCATCATGGACTGACATCAGTTGGGGAACCATTGAAAATCTGGGAGCACTGGACAACCGGCTGTTTCGTCCTTGTATGGGACTCCTCAGCGGTACGCACCCACGACCCGGCTAGGGGTCGAACTCACGACCCTCAGGCTCCACGGCGAACGCGTTAACCATTCAGTCGCGCTATATCGTGAGTTGACAAAAGTTGGAAATTGTGAACCACTGGAAACTGACCCAGTGACTGAATGGTTAACGTGTTCGCCGTGGAGCCTGAGGGTCGTGAGTTCGACCCCCAGCCGGGTCGTGGGTGCGTACTGCTGAGGAGTCCCATACTAGGACGAAACAGCTGTCCAGTGCTCCCAGATTTTCAATGGTTCCCCAACTGATGTCAGTCCATGATGAATACTACTTCTAAATATTTATGACAGTTTCGAATTCTCAGCATGTAATTTTTCAGCAAATTTACTCCCATAACGATACTTCCAGACGTAATGGTTATTGCATCTGAATAGTGTGAATAATAAGAGTGTTCAAGGCAGTATAATGTGAAGTAGCCAGCTAGTAGTTCTGGATGAACTTTCGGTTGATAATGAAGAATCAACGGAAGCGTAAGTGTAAGTTGTGTGATGGCGGTTCGTTTAGCCTATTCAGATATCTGAAAGTCAAGCTAAGTATCCGAGGGATAGAAATTCGATATACTTTTCTTTGTCTACTGAATATTTCACCTCCATATAAGCTGACATTGTTTTCTCTCTATCGTTAGTAACTGGAGAAACGATGAGTTGAAAACAGTTTTAAAATATTCATGAGTATATGCAACATTCAGATGACATATTTAAATGAATTTTTGAGGGAGTTGTGGGGATTTGGTAATATTTCAAGTTGTTATTCATTGCAGACTGACATCAGTTGGAGGAACAAAGGAAACCTGGGAGCACTCGACAGCTGGTTTTTGTCCGAGTATGGGACTACTCAGCAGTGCGCACACACGACTCCATCCCTCGAGGGATGGAACCCGCAACCTTCAGGTTCCGTGGCCAGTGCGTTACCATTGAGCCACTGGGTCAGATTCCAGTGGTCCATATTTCCAACTTCTTTTAGCTCATGATATAGCACAACCGCCACCAATTTCATCGTTGAGTAACTGTCCTCATGACCATCAGGCTTTGCTCCCACCGGTCACGACTTCTCATTGGAACTTCAGGACTATCTCTCGAAGCTAGTCACCAATGAGCATCAGTCCAATTGAATTTTGAGGGATTTGTAGGGATTTGGAAATATTTCAATTTGTTATTCATCGTAGACTGAAATCACTGGGAGGAACAAAAGAAACTGACCCAGTGGCTCGATAGTAACGCACTGGCCGCGGAACCTGAAGGCCGCGGGTTCGATCCCTGGCGGGTGAGGTTGTGGGTGCGCACTGCTGAAGAGTCCCATACTAGGACGAAACAACCAGCTGTCCAATGCTTTCAGGTTTCGTTTGTTCCTCCAACTGATGTCAGTCTACGATGGATAACAACTTGAAATATTTAAATGAGTAAACAAATTGTAACGAAAAAAAATTTCATGTATTCGGTGCCTAAGGTTCAAGCAGGTCTCTCACTATTAACTTGTAGCGTGTATGGAGGTGTAGACTGCCTGACTAGGGTCTCTGAGACGATATAAATCAGTGGTTGAAGATTATTCATGACATGGTTGAAAATTGGTCACATGGGTGAAGAGATATTCATTCACACCTTGACGTTTTCCAAAGCCTGATATATTTCCGCTGTCATCTTCAAATGGTTTCTTGTCTCGCACACCTTTGTATACTTTGATATGGACCTATTCTCTGTGTTCCTACTTTGAAGTGTGCCAACTTGACTCGATGCATTGTATTTTCCACGTTCTAGATTGTGTATGTCGTCTGTGTATGGTTATTTATCCGATTGTAGAGCGAGATTGTCTTGTAAATGTTGACTGACTGACTGACAGTACAGTTTTCGAAGTTAGTCTCTTTACTATCCATTTGTCATATCTCCGTGTCTTATGTAGAGATGGATGTCGGTTTATAGAATTTGAGGAGTATTCAGTGTATTTTGTGTTGAAATGTGTGTCTATTCATATTGATGTAAGACAATATCAAGTATATTTTGTGATTGAAAGGAGGATCCAGTTGACATGAGAGTTGAATTGATCTTTACTATGTAGAATTATAATTTCTCAAAGTATGATCTATTTCTTCTAAGGCGTGCTAGTAGTAGTAGAAGTAGTGGAGTAATGTGACTATGGTAACGGGGTTGTTTAGCATAGAAAGTGGTTCAATACTTTCTGGTCATGAGGTGTGGTGTGGTGTGGTGTGGTGTGGTGGTAGGGTTACATTGTCAGCTGAGATAAATAAGATTGTGACTGTTAAAAATGGCGAGTAATGAAATAGTTTTTTTTTCTTATTTGACTGTCTTAGCGGATTGTTTCTCATTGGTGTAAGTAGTAGTGAATGTATTACTGGCTGTAATAACAAGTATATATGTATCTTCATGTTTGCGTGTAAATTCATCATCATGAATATTAACATAGGACCAGGCATTACTGCGTAGCGGTCCGAGTTCCTACACCTCATATCAGTAGATCAAGTAGAAAGATAGTGAGTGAGGTGAAAGATGAAGATAAGAAAATTGAGTCAGAAGAAATATAAAGTACTCAGAGAGACAGAGAGAGAGACAGAGACAGAGAGAGACAGAGAGAAAGGAAGAATGAGAAAATGGTGAGATTCGGTATGGCGTCGTTAAGATGAGGACAATGTGTGTGGGGATATATCTGCGCCATTGACACCGGTTCTGAGCCATGTGATCACCTAGAGTCAGTCTCCAACCAGTGGTTTCTCTTGTCCCGCCTACCACAACCACCTAGTCTGCATGGCCTCACTCACATGGCTCAAACCAACAGTCAAACACTTCATACATTGGTGCCATGTTTTAGTGTGGCCACCTCGAGCCTTTTTCCAGCCTGAACCTACTTCGGTCAACATTGTGTGATGAAGTAATCGGTGACTAGGCATACGTAGTACATGTCCCAACCATTTTAATCGATGAAGGTTCATAACCTCATCAACTAATTACCTCCACTACTTAAAACTCTACTCCTGACTTCTGCATTACTCACGTGGTGTGGTGACACCACGGAATACGGTGGCCTATACTAAGAAGTCAACGGTGGTCAAACACTTGAAGCCTTCTCATGTCTTCCACCTTCAATGGCCATGTTTCATAGCCATACAGTAGAACAAACCGAACTGATATGCAGTATACACGACCCTAATAGACAGTCGAATATCACGACGGCACCACAAGTGGCTTAAGTTGGCGAAAGCCAGTCAATTTAGTATTTTGTATCCGTGATGAGGTTTCATCGGCCACTGAGCCATCAGGGCAAGGCTGATCCTACTTCACCTCTAAGGTAAGTGAAGTGGTCGACACACTCAACTACGACACTCACTCTCCATTGTTAGCTGAGGTGGGGCACCGTTGAAGACCAGTCGTGGAGCAACAATTTGCATTCACATGGTGACAAACGCATCCCAAACATTCTCGAATTGCTACTCAAAGTGTTCAGAAGACTCTGCATCTTGTCAGTGTCTTCATATAACAGGACTATATCATCTGCATATTTTGGGTCTAACGAAAATTCTCGTGTGCATAGGTCAACGTCTGTGTAATCAGGTGATGAGAGGGAGATTTCCATAAGAATATCCATGATAAAGTGATGGATTCCGGCTCGATTTGAAGACGATAAGACGGTAATCAGTCATACAATTTTCAAACTTCCTTTACATAGACAGTCTAACTTTTCCTCATCCATCTATTTCATTGGTAGTAAACGTTTTCAGATATCTGCAATATGTGTTGAATTATTCCTGTTACATATGTTACGTGTAGATTCAATGAACAAGGATTTTGTGATCAATCTCTCCTTCCATCTAACTAAGCATAATGAACTTAGAGGTGTCATGTTATCCCGCCCACCTCCAACGTTTTAATATATATTAGATTTCGCCGATGACTTATGTCTAATATCACACAAACTTGAAGATCTGCAGGTGAAAACTAACAAGTTTAGAGAAGAGGCAGGGCAGGGCAGCGAAAACGGGACTTCTTTCAGGTGAGTGTAGAGAAGACGGAGGTGATAAAGATACCCAAACACCACCACCACCAACAACAACAACAAGCCTCAATCACCATCAGCGCGATAAACGTAAAGGAAGTAGTCCCTTTCACCTACCCAGGCAGCATCGTTTCAACTACAGGTGGCACAGACGAGGATGTCAAAGACAGACAGGATCGGAAAGACAGCAAGATAGGCGTTCATTAGCCTAAAACCAGTGCGGAGATCTTCTGCACTCTACGCAGCATTAAGCGTGATCAACATCCTGACTTTGAACACCAATCCAATCAAGTCAGTGCTTCTATGTGATGGTTGAGATACTTGGCGCGTTGGGCAAAGCATTTCCAACAAACTTCAGACATTTATCAACGGCTGCCACTACGCAACAAGGAACTCTGGCCTGTCGACGAACCAACGAAGCAAGAACCTATCACTCAACAAATATGCACTGGAAGCAAGTGGAGATGGATTGGATTGGGCATATACTGAAAAGGCCGACTGGGGATATCACCCGCTGGGCCAGGCCCTCGAGTGGGACCCAGATGGAAGGTCCACAGCAAAAATGAGGAACGACGAGTTAGGCGTCGCAGGTTGACATGGAAGAGATCGTGTGAGGTGATGAAACTACCTGCATCCAACGGTTTTCTCTTTTAGGTATTCTTCAAGATACTGTTCAGTAGCCCAATAATTTTAAGAAAATATTAAGTATATAACCTTTGAATGATCGCTTGATTTTCTTCATTGTCATCTAGCGATCTCTACAAACTCCTGATCTAACCTGGGAGCGTGTTCGTTCACAAGTGGATCATGTCATTTGGACGGATGGCAAACGTATAGTTCTTATAGCTGAGGTGAGTCTATACTTCTACTATATACGCATAATGGTGTACTTTTTTTCTCTATCGAATCACTTCTCATCCGTGTTTGTCTGTGATGAATGCTGTTTTTTGCATCGATTAGAAGTGAGTTTAACTGTCCTGATTTCTCAGTAGCAGATAGAATGGGTATTATTATTATTATTTCTCTTTTGCATTCTTAGTGGAACATACAGATTCAATAGCACAATCTCCTCCATGTCACCCTCGCACCCCCAACTCGTCGTTTCCCATTTGGGTTCCACTCGACGGCCTGGCCTGGCGTGTCATGCCCCTGAACAGTCTTCTCAGTGTATGTCCAACTCAATCCAATCCATCTCCACCCTCTTCTTCTGCATATTTGTTCGATGATAGGTTGTTGGTTGGTTGGTTCCTTGTCAGGCCAACCAGAGTTCCTTGTTGCTTATTCTTATTATTCTGGCCATCTGATCTTCATCTTCAGTAACGAGTGAGCGTAGACGTCAGCTGTTGATGATGTATGTTTGTAGTTGGTTGGAAATACTTTTCATAACGTGCCTAGTCTGTGAACCATCACATAGAAGTACTGACTTACTTTACTGATATTAGTGTTGGAAATCGGGATGTTGTTCACTCTTTCTGCTGAGTGCATTGCATTACAGTGAAGTGCAGTAGATCTCCACATTTATTTCAAATGAATGAAGAAAGGGCTGTCTTGCTGCTTTTCTGATCGTAACTTGCACATCCTCATGTATACCTTTGTCGCTGCCTCTTGTATTTGAAAGGATGGTGCCTAGGAAGTTAGATAGCTGAAAGAGTTAACTTCGTTTAGATTTCTCTCGTTGATAGTGACTGGTGCTTGTTGTCGTTGGTCGTTGATTTGCTATCTTCGTCACCTGTGTCTTCTCTAGGTTCACTTGAATGAAGTCATGTCTTCGCTGCCTGGCGTCTTGTGCCAGGTTGTTAGTTGTTGCCTGTATATGTTGGAGTTTGTGGAACATAGGAGAAGACACTAGACATAAATCATGATGGGTTGAATCGTAATGTTGTTGTGGGGTGTTTTCATGGGTGAAGCCAGTGTATGCTCATTTTCTGGCTCCACACGGTTTGTTGCATGATGCAGTGGAGTCGAGTCGAGTCGACCAGAATGAGATGAGGAATATGATAGGTGATGGTAGGCGTCAACGTTGTCTTACTCCTATCTTCACTTGAAAGGCATCACTGAGCTTTCCATATAGCATTCTAATATAGGATATAGCTGCTGTTGAATGAGGTTGATAAAGTTTGTGTTGCTAAAAGTGTATTGTTGAAGCAGTTTCCAAATAACTTTGTGGTCGACTCTGTCGAAGGCCTTTTCAAAATCGATGCGATCATCTAGTCATATAGAGGAATGCCTGTGATTTGTCTCTTTTAGTTGTACAATGGAATAGCTTTGTAAAGAATATTCAATCAATCAACATTATTTGTATGGCCTTTATGTCTGCATTGAACAAGCCGACGGTATACTTGTATCCCTAGGTAAAAGACAACTTTTTCAAGTTGGTATTCATCATAAACTGACATTAGTTGGAGGAACCTTTAAAACCTGGGGGCTGTGGACATTTGTTTCATTCTAGTTTGGAACTCCTCAGCAGTTCGCACCCATGACACCCCCCGTCTGGGATCGAACCCATGACCTTTGGGTTCCATTGCCAGCACGTTACCATTGATCTACTGGGTCGGAATCCAGTAGTCCATATTTTCCTAGCATGGTCAAGGGTACACACTTCTGAAGAGTCCCATACCAGAGTTAAACAGCTATCGGATGTTCCTCCGACTAATGTCAGTCCATGGAAAATTCTCTAAAACTTCAAAAGCCTACTGGATTCAAAGGTTTTGCATTAACTTGTCCGTGTATTCACTGAATCCTATTTCGTGTTGGAAATGTTTAGCATAAAGAAGGTTAGAAGGGTTATCGCGAAACTGAAGGTAATTCAATGAATATATACGTCCGAAATTCATCATTTAATCATTGGATTCACTCATATGCTCCAAGAACTTGGTTTTTTGTGTTCTATACCAAGAACAATGCACCATAGCACCATCAATTGTTAACTGAATGCTGACGGGGATGAGGTATTTACATCCAGCTGATGAGTCATAAATGGGTCGAAATGCTCGTCCATTGTGAAGTTGAATCGTCGTTCAAAAGAGCGAAACTCTTCATATTAGTAGTAGAGTAGTAGTATATGAAACTTAAAATGCAAACAGCAAGGCATTCTCCCCCTTTGGTGTTTTGGCATTCTGCGAAAATACTTGCACTATGCACTACTTAAATGTGTGTTTATCAGCAGTATGTACTAAACGTATACTTATTCAGTTGGTAATTCTGTTGATCAGTATTATTTTTTGATTATTACACTTATACTGTTGAAGGTGAGTTTTCTTTCTATATGTTGAATTTGTGTCTTATGAAATGTTCATTGAAGAATCATACTCTCAAAGGTACTTGGAACATTGTAGTGCAGATCTATCCTATTTCACTAGATACGTTACTCAGTTAGTACTATTTTTCTGCTCAGTTTTTCAAGGTTTGTTTTATATTGCTTTTTAGGGACGTCTAGCGAATCTAAGCTGTTCTACTGTTCCGTCTATTGTTGTTTCTGTCAGCGCCAGTACTCAGGTTAGTTTTATTTGCTTCAGTTGTTTTGATTTCAACTATTATGTCCAATAATGAAATCATCATGTGAGTAATGTAGAGGTTAGTCGAAGTGTTACGATTGCTGTGAACCTTCATTGACTGATGTGGTTCCGACATATGCCATCACCTAGATTGAGAAGTCCCAGTGCATGAAATCTTCAACTGTTGATATCAGCTGTGTTGTAAGATGATGTAGAGTATCTGGTTGGGATCCCTTGGGTTCCTAGTGGAACATAGGGCTTCAGTAGCACGTCTCCATCCCACTCTGTTCTCTGCAAACTTTTGAACTGGCTCCACGACAGCCCACAAGCTTTCATTTCTTCCTCACACCATCTCCTCCATGTCACCCTCGACCCGGACGCCCAACTCGTCGTTCGCTTTGGATTCCACTGGAGGGCCTGACGCGTGATGTCCTCGGACGGTCTTCTCAGTGTATGCTCAATCCATCTCCACTTGCTTTCAGTGCATATTCGTTGAGCGATAGGTTCTTGGTTGGTTTGTTGACAGCCAGCTAGAGTTCCTTGTTACTTATTCTTTCTGGCGAGTTCTTCATTCTCATTCGTAGCACTGAGCACTTCTCGATCCATGGTTAGTTCTCTCCCTGTGTTGTCCCCTCGCAGTTTGGGCATACATGTTGCCCATTAGAATTTTGGTATCGCCAACTGAAGTCTTGTCCAGTGTTGATTGAAGTTGTACTGTAGGATTCCTCCTTCTCTTCATCTGCACTATATGTAGGCACATAGCGTAGCATTGTATGATTGTGACTTTCCTTCCTTTTGAGTTGAACCTACTGTCGTGATCCTGCATGAGGAGATCTGGTTCCCACTGCATGAGGGCCTTCGATGCTGTTGTGGACATCATGATAGCCACTCCGATAATTCAGTGTGCTCGTGGTTATTGTCTGGGTGACAATATCGGAGTAGATTATTGATTCTCCAGTTGACAGTTTAGAGAGCCCACTTCCATTCCATCTACTTTCGCAAATTCCTAACACTGGAATGCGATATCTCTCATCTCTTTGGGTAGCCTTGCTAGGTTCAAACATAGTGCGGATATTTTATGTCCCCACGTTTACTTTCGCTTTCATCAAGAGAGAGAAGACACATCGGCCAGTAGGCTTCCCGAAGGCTTTCACCAACCGGCATCCTTTCGCCTCTCCGATTCCAGCGAGGAATGATTTTTTTCATATTTTGTTTGTGCTTTGAAGTTTCTTTATGGTTGTATTGGTTTACCGGGGTAGGGTTGCTAGGCCTATGCTCAACTTTCCCTCTTTACCCGGGCTTAGGACCGGCTAGTTACTAGTGAACTAGTTAACCAGGCGTCTTTTTGACATGACTGAAAATCGGCCATTGTATGGTATTTTCATCGATTATCATTTTTACATATCCTGGATAAATAGTTTCATGAATTTAGCTCATGTTTGAAATGGAATCAGGCAGACACAATCAACATAGAACGTGGTAGACAACTGCATCGGCCGCGTCGCCAAACTTCATAAAACAACCAATAGAATATGAATGATATCAGAGCAGAGAAAGTTGTATAGGAGATTAAACTATAAGAAGATAATAGTTAGCACGAATATTAGAGCTTTAGAAAATGTCAGTGAGTGAATACATTTGAGCCATTGTGACCGATGTCATCAAGAGTCCTCAGCCACTGCTTCCTTTCGTTTCTCGCGGACCCCAACCAAACAGTCTATATCTCCGCTATATGGCTCACACGAACTTCATCGACTGGTGCCAGGTCTTGGTCTGGCCATCCTGAACCCTTTTCCATCTTAATCCAACTTCCCTCTAGCATAGCATGTGAAGTTCATATCCAAGTCATCTCAGTCGACTTACATGTATTCCTCAGTACGAGCAATACTACGAAGATATCTCTTATCAAAATCTTCCTACCGCTTTATGTCGTCTACTTTTAATGGCCATATCTCGCAGTCGTAGGCGCTATAGAATGGACTGCAGTGCAGTATACTCGTCCTTTGATAGCGAGAAATCTCAGCTGGCGACAGAGATGACGTGAACTGACAGAAGTTGGAAATATGGACCATTGGAATTCTGACCTAGTGGCTCAATGGTAAAGAGCTGACCGCGGAACCCAAAGGTCGCGGGTTCTGTCCTCTGGCGGGGTCGTGGGTGCGCACTGCTTGAAGAGTCCCATACTAGGACGAAATAGCCAGCTGTCCAGTGCTCCCTTGTTCCTCCAAATGATGTCAGTCTACAGATGAATAACAAATTGAAATATTTCCTAATCCCCTACAAGCTTCCTCAAACTTAAGTTGAAAATGATCCTTCTGTATCCGAGCTGAGATCTCGTCAAGTGACTAGCTATATCAGACTGACTGCAACTTTCCAAGTTTAGTCTTGGAAGTAGTACCATTTACATTCGACAGATGCCAGCGAAGTGCATGCCAAACATATTCAGATGAAGATTGAGCGATTTCATGTACTGGTGTCACATTTTATTCTGAAATCTGTGCTACAATCGCGTTATGTATTTTCGCTGTCATGTAACATCGTAATCTACCATATCACTCCGTACAAGTAATAAATATCATAAAAGATTTAGTATCCATCTGTATACTGATATCGAGTGGTGTCCGTCAAGGCTACCCACTGTCTCCATTCTTATTCAATTTTATCATAGATATTCTTATGGAGGTCTACCTCTCATCACCTGATTACACAGACGTTGACCTATGCACACGAGAATTTTCGTTAGACCTAAAATATGCAGATGATATAGTCCTGTTATATGAAGACACTGACAAGATGCAGAGTCTTCTGAACACTTTGAGTAGCAATTCGAGAATGTTTGGGATGCATTTCTCACCACACGAACCGCAAATTGTTGCTCCACGACTGGTCTTCAACGGTGCCCCACCTCAGCTAACAATGGAGAGTGAGTGTCGTAGTTGAGTGTGTCGACCACTTCACTTACCTTAGAGATGAAGTAGGATCAGCCTTGCCCTGATGGCTCAGCGGCCGATGAAACCTCATCACGGATACAAAATACTAAATTGACTGGCTTTCGCCAACTTAAGCCACTTGTGGTGCCGTCGTGATATTCGACTGTCTATTAGGGGTCGTGTATACTGCATATCAGTTCGGTTTGTTCTACTGTATGGCTATGAAACATAGCCATTGAAGGTGGAAGACATGAGAAGGCTTCAAGTGTTTGACCACCGTTGACTTCTTAGTATAGGCCACCGTATTCCGTGGTGTCACCACACCACGTGAGTAATGCAGAAGTCAGGAGTAGAGTTTTAAGTAGTGGAGGTAATTAGTTGATGAGGTTATGAACCTTCATCGATTAAAATGGTTGGGACATGTACTACGTATGCCTAGTCGTCATCTGTCTCGTCACACAATGTTGGCTGAAGTAGATTCAGGCTGGAAAAAGGCTCGAGGTGGCCACATTAAAACATGGCACCAATGTATGAAGTGTTTGACTGTTGGTTTGAGCCATGTGAGTGGGGTGATGCAGACTAGGTGGTTGTGGTAGGCGGGACAAGAGAAACCACTGGTTGGAAACTGACTCTAGGTGATCACATGGCTGAGAACCGATGTCAGTGGCACAGATGTATCCCCATACACATATATTATCCTCATCTTAACGACGCCATACCGATTCTCACCATTTCCTCATTCTTCGTTTCTTTCTGTAAATACTTTATATTTCTTTCGACTGCGTTCTCTTATCTTCATCTTGCTGCTCACTGCCTTTTTACTTGATGTAGTGATATGAGCTGTTGCAACTGGGACCGTTAAGCATGAATGCCTAGTCCTAGGTTGATCTGGATGGATGGATACTGATATTGATAAATTGGTGATGTACGATTTAGGGGGGGGGATTTAGTGGAGTGGGACAGGGTAGGGGGAGGGGGCGAGCAGAAATATCTGTCAGAAGGTACGCATAAGCTTTTACTTATTTCAAAAATCATTTTTCGAGAAAAAAATTTGTTTTAATATATGTGCATATTTGGTCGGTTAATTTATGGCCTACCTTGACCGGAAATTTTAGTTGGTTGTATATGAATTTCTGAATGTTTGTTTATTATGATAATTCAATTCAGCAATATTGTAAGAGGGAGGTATTTTGTGTTGAAAAACAATCCAAGGTAACAGGATAAAAATTTACTGTTTTCCTTCACTACTCGATTCTTCCTCGTTTTAATCTCAGATTTTTCGTTTTTTTTTCTCTCTCTCTCTTCCTTTTATTTCTTTGTTGGTTTATTTATTTCGACTTGCATACAATTATTATTGACATATTGACCTAAATAATAAGCTTCATCAAGATCTAGTGTTATTGCTTGTATTATACTGTTGTTGATTGGATCGAATTGATCGGTCTATTGACATATTGACATATGGGCTCCTGCGGAGACACCTCTATATCACCTGTGCTTTAATTATGTATAGTAATGATAGATAACGGCCAGCAGGGGAATCTGAGACGCGCATTTTTTCCTATTTGGGACTCACCAGCTGGATGTACCTGTACCCCCCTGTGAGCGATGTCCCCCTGGGATTCGAACTCAAAACCGATCACATCAAATGCCAAAGTGTTATCCACTAAACCACCCGTCTCACATGAAGTGTCTATCGTGTCTCAGTGGTTTATTGGATAGCGCTCTGGCGTTTGAAATGATCGGTCTCGGGTTCGAATCCTGGTGGGAACAACACTGTATCGTGGATTCCACTGTTAATCACTATGCATGATTACTATTAACCGAGACTATTCACTGTAAAATTTTATTTTTGTTTCATTGTTTCCCTGGGATATAATTTATTGTTATCGTAATTTTTTATTTATGTGTAATTGTACGTTGTAATTTACTTGATGATAGCTAGTCGGGGAATCTGGGGCAGGTGTTTCGTTCCATATGTGACTCGTCAGCTGGTTGTGCCTGCACCGTAGTGAGTGATGCTGTTCCCGCTGAGACGGCAACCCAGTAACTATCGCTTCAAATGCTAAAGTGTTATCTACTAGGTCACTGAGACATGAGAGTTACCTTTCGTACAATGAGTATCGGTTGTTCATTGTTACTCATTAATATATGTAATTTTCCGTATACTATACTGTATATATTGCGTTTTATAATGCATACTGTGCATTGTTCAGGTGTTAGCCCTTATCGAATTGTACAATGCGCCTACTGGTCGTTATAAAAATGATGTCTACCTTTTGCCTAAAAAGATGGGTAAGTTGCTTTTGGATGATATCTACAACTGTGTAATAAATGTTAATATACTATGCTTTGTTTCTCTTTGCTGTCATATATAAACTGAAAGAATTTGAGAAGCAGTAATAATGTAATATGATACTTGGTTTGAATACAGGTAGAGAGACTGTTCTCCCTCAGACCTGATACTGAGCTGTAAAAATCAGCAAACACTGTTCCACAAGTGACTATAAGCAAGACCAGAAAAAACAGCAGTATTTATGTAGTTTCCCTCGAAAAAATCAAGCCACTAGGTCACAAGTTGGATGTTTATTTTCATTGGTCAGCTGAAGGACATAATTGTCTAATAAGATTTTTCTCCACCCACACAAAATTAAAGTTGCAATCTAAAATTCCTATCTTAGTGGCTAATGAACTTGGGCGCTGATTTCGATTTTAGACTCACCTAAGAGTAATGGGGTTAGAGTACTCAACTGTGATGTTTCCTGTTGTTCTAATTGTGGTTAAAAGTACTTCTATATTCAATTCATGACCACCTTCAGTAATAGCTTTTCCTGTATCCTACAAACAATGATTATTCATCTCAGATTTCAGAGACTGTGGACTATTGAATCTCGACCCAGCAGCATGATGATGTGAAACCTGCAGGTCGTGAGTTCGAACCCTGGTGAGGTCCAGTGCTCCTAGATTTTCAATGGTTCTCTTCATGAACTTAACACTACATTTACTTGTCTCAAGAATATATGTTTGCACACATAGAAGACATATTCACTTTCCTGGTATACTGTTGAAACTTGACTATTTTATTTCAGTTTATGATAACTGTTTCTCAGATTACACATTTGATCAATTTGATTATTGTAAAGAATTTTTAATGATTTAGCAACTGTCCTCATGACCATTAGGCTTTGCCCCCACCAGTCACGACTTCTCATCGGAACTTCAGGAATACCTCTGGAAACTAGTCACCAATGAGCACCAGTTCAATAGAATTTTGAGGGAGTTGTAGGGATTTGGAAATATTTCAAGTTGTTATTCATCGTAGACTGACATCAATTGGAGGAACAAAGGAAACCTGGAAGCACTGGACAGCTGGCTGTTTCGTCCTAGTGTGGGACTCCTCAGCAGTGCGCACGCACGACCCCACCCTCCAGGGATCGAATCTGCGACCTTCCGTGACCAGCACGTTATCATCGAACCCCCCCCCAGGTTTCCAATACCTCCTCCAGCTAGTGTTGAATACCATCCTGAGGTGAGAAACTTTTGATCACTGGATTCAATTCTACCTTCGTGCAAATTTTCATTCTATCTTCAATCATTATCCAGTATTATCAATAGATGGTTAGCAAACTGTGATTATTTTAGATAACTAAATTGAGATATACTTCATTGAAATAGCCTTATACTTACTTTTTATTGATTTCACTCTACTTAGATGAATATGTGGCAACATTACATCTTCCATTATTCAATGCTCGGATTACAGAACTCACAGATGAACAAGCTCGATATTTGGGTGTAAATAAAACTGGACCATTTAAACCAAGCAATTACAAGTTAGTAAACATATATATATATAATTTATCCGTTGGGTTTTTAGTGGAACATAGGGCTTAAGTATCACCGCACCATTTCACTCTCTTCTCTCCAGTCTTATTAACCTATCTCCATGACTTCGCATAACCTTTCATTTCTTTCTCACAGTGTCTCCTCCATGTCACCTTCAGCTGGGACGCCCAACTCGTCATTTTCAATTTGACGTCCACTCGATAACGTCATCTAGTGTGTGATGTCGCTAAACGGTCTTCTCAGTGTATATCCAATCCAATCCATCTCCACTTTCCTCTGCATATTTGTTCGAGGTTAGGCTGTTGGCTGGTTGGTTGGTTGCCAGTCAACCAAGTTCCTCCTTGCTTATTCTTATTCTTCTGGCCATCTGATATACTCTTCAGTATCAAGTGAACGTAGGCGACAACTGTTCATGTCATGTATGTTTGCAGTTTGTTCGAAGTGCTTTTCGACTAATTCCGTTCAACACTGTCTTATCGTGATATGATGTAGATGTTGGTGGATGATAGATATGAAAGGGTCTTTCCCTGTGTTTGAATTTAGCTCTGCCTAGAAGGCAAAGATTTCGGAAAGGTGATTGTAGGAGACGATGGCGAGTATGGTAGTCTGAATGGCTTGACATTGTCCCTGGTTGGGCGTAGAAGTGGCCTGCTGCCTTCATTGTATGTGAGTGTTCTGGTATATATATATATATATATATATATATATATATATATATATATATATATTATATATATATATATATATATATGGACGTTAACAACGTTTGATACATGTCATATGAACTGTAGTCAGTGGGCGCATATTTGGAGGCTAAAAATAATCATCAACATGTTTCATTGTTGTTCATGGTTTAGTGATGCAGGTCATTGGCGTCTATCGCAGAGTATCTTTTGGAGAAGTGCTCTTTCTGCTGCAGAACTTACTCCAATATCTACAACAGCAAGTTTACAAGAACTATCCGTGTATTCTTCAAATCTTTCGTGGATTCGACGTATTTTTCAGATATGGTGTAGTGGGAAATCAAACTTGTGTTTTTGACATATACACCTCAAAAATCCAGCATATCTCGATAGCTTAAGGTTGAAGAGTCTTGTGGAATGAGTCCCGCTATGTGGTTTAGCATAGATTTGAATATTAAATGTTTAGATGTGTAAAAGAGACTATAAATAGCGTTTTCGTAGTTTGCATCGATAGAAGAAGGTTTTGGTGAACTATGAGTGACCGAATCCTGTTGACGCCCAACTCGTCGCTTCCCACCTAGGTTTCCACTCAAGGGCCTGGCCATAGCACGTGATGCCCCCAATCAGCCTTCTAAGTGTATGCCCAATCCATCTCCACTTCCTTCTTGATTGGTTCGTCTCCATGCTAGAGTTCCTTATTGCTTATTCTTTCAGACCATCCATCTGATCTTCAGCAACGAGCCAGCGTAGGCACTTGTTGATGAGTGTCTGAAGTTTTTTGGAAATGCCTTTCGTAATGCTCCAAGTCTCTGAGCCGTACAGAAGCACTGACTTGACTGGATTGGTGTTGAAAATCCGGATGTTGTTGACATTTCATGGTGAATGCAGAAGATCTCTAGACTAGTTTCAGGTTAATGAACGCCTGTCTTGCTTTTCCGATCCTGGCTTTGACGTCCTTGTCTGTGCCTGTGCAACCTGTAGTTGAAACGATGCTGCCTAGATAGGTGAAAGACACTATTTCCTTCATGTTTCCGGTTGATGCTGATTGGATTTTGTTGTTATTGTTAGTTGTGGTGTTATTTGGGTATCTTCATCACGTCTGTCTTCTCTACGTTCTGTCGAAGGAAGTCCCGTCTTCGCTGCGCTGCTTCTTCTGTCAACTTGTTAGTTTTTGCCTGTAGATCTTCAAGTTTGTGTGGCATTAGACACAAGTCATCATTGGCGAAATCCAAATCTTCTAGGATCTTTTCCCCGGTGCAGCCAGTGTATCCCCCTCCTCTCGCTCCTCATAGTTGTCTGTTGCATGGTCCAGTTCACCACAATCAGGAAAATGACGGATGATAGTAAACAACCTTGTTTCACTCCTGTCTTCACTTCAAAGGCATCACTGAGCATTCCATTGTGAATTACTTGTCATGTGGCTTTTTCATATAGTTGTTGAGTGAGGTTGATAAAGGTTTGTGGTATTCCGTAGTGTTGAAGCAGCAGTTGCCAAATTACTTCTCGGTCGACGCCGCAAAAGGCCGTTTCAAAGTGGATGAAGTTGAGGTACATGTATAGTGGACTGCCATTCTATACTCTGTTCTATGATGATGCGAAGAGTTGGAATTTGGTCCGCACATGATCTGTACTTGCTGAATCCAGCCTGCCTGTTCCGGTCGTACTTTTGAATCACATAGGGCTGTTGACATCTGATTTTTATAGTTCTGTCACCTCATATGATTTTTTTTATATTTATTAAGAGTAAAATTTGCCATATCTCTGGTATTGGTGTTGCGTCATTTCTATTACATGTGTTGTGTGTTGACTCAATGAACAAACATTCAGTAATCAATCTGTCTCCCTATCTCCACCTAGTTATACTGGACTATAGTACAGTGACTTTATCCCACCCATCTCATTGTATGGTTGTTTGCTAATGAATGCATTGCAGTAGACGAGGGTTTTTCTGGATTATCAATCTTATTTCAGGTCTTTCATTCTGCATTTAGCTAAATTTCTATGTTCCACTAGTCTAACGTATTCCGATCAGCTAGTTTGACCTATGTACTTGACCTAACTAGCAGTCATTACATGGAATTTGATAGATGAGATTATTTTACTTAATTAGTTCTATCAGGTCCTTGGGCAGATAAAGCAGGATGAAATGAAGGACAGTTGATGGTTTGCATTCTACCATCTACAGAAAACTGACACATTTCAACACGTATCTAGACTTCAAGTCATCTTATCCAATGTCAGTGAAGGCGGTAACAGTCAAATGTCTAAGTGATAGAGCTAGAAAACTGACTAGTCAGTGCAAGGACCTAAACAAGGAACTGTAGCACATAAAGGAAGCGCTAATAGTTAATAATTATCCTCTACAGTTTATTAGAAGATTCTCACGAACAAATACCCTATAAGGAGGGTACTTCAGAAACTTTGCGTAGAATCCTCAATGGAGCTGGAATTAGGGTGGCATTTAAACCTACAAACTCACTCAGGGATAAACTTTGTCGGCTGACTTAAGGATCCCATAGAACCAATTAAGCAAAGTAATCTAATCTATCAAATTCCTCGTAATGACTATGAGTTAGGTCAAGTACATAGGTGAAACTAGTCGGTCGGGGTCAGTTAGATTAGCCGAACATAGGAATTTAGCTGAATATAGAATAGTAAACCCCAATAAGGTCAATAATCTAGAAAAGTTACTCGTCTATTGAAATGCATACCTTAAGACACAATTGGATAGATGGGCTAGAACCACTGTACTTCAATCCATTATAATTAGGTGTAGGTGTTAAAATCCAACATATGAAATAGGAATAGCACAGCACCCATACTAGAGATATAGAAAATTCTACTACCACTCAAAACGAGAAGTATAAGGTGATAGGACTATAAAAATCAGATATCGATAAGTCTCTGTGATTACATCGTTATGATTATGGACGATGCTGATTGATACTGGGAACGTGGTCATAAAGTAAATAATACTGTATGTATATATAGTAAATAAACAAATATAATATGGAATTGAATTCAATCACGGTCGCGAAGGTTTACACTCAGATGGTCAGTTTATATTTGTTTCACAGCCTCTCATCAGCCGCAGACAGCCTACTCTTGAAATGAAGAGTATTCTTAATAATAATAGTAATAATAATAATAATAATAATGACATAACATACTTTAAATATATAGGAATAAATGAAGATTTGAAAGTCCAGGGTTTCCAACAGCAAAGGCAGTGAATGAATTAAGGGAACATAGGAGTAACAATCTTCTCATATCTTAGTCAAAATTAATGGTAATTTATATATGATGAGATAGAAAATTGTCGATCTGTTGAAAGAAGGAAGGTGATAGTAGGTTATGTAATTACATAAATAAAAAACAAACTAAAGGATCGAGAAATATCTACTTGATCAGATGCTTGACGATTATGCTATCTTTCAAACGCAAATTTTTAATTTAGAAGTAGTATTCATCATGGACTGACATCAGTTGGGGAACCATTGAAAATCTGAGAGCGCTGGACAGCTGGCTGTTCGTCCTAGTATGGGACTCCTGAGCAGTATGCACCCACGACCCGGCTAGGCATCGAACTAACCACCTTTAGGTTTCACGGCGAACGCGTTAGTCATTCAGTCGCTCGGTCGACTGGTTTACCTCACAGGTCACGGCTTCTCAACCAGTCGGGAGTGAAGTGGATGCTAACTGAAGACGTTGGCTGATAGTCGCACTATGTCATGAATTGACAGAAGTTGGAAATTGTGAACCACTGGAAACCGACCACCGAGTGGCTCAATCCTTAACGCGTTCGCCATGAAACCTGAAGGTCGTTAGTTCGATGCCTAGCCGGGTCGTGGGTGCATACTGCTCAGGAGTCCCATACTAGTTGGACGAAACAGCCGGTTGTCCAGTGCTCTCAGATTTTCAATGGTTCTCCAAATGATATCAGTCCATAATGAATACTACTTCTACATATTTTATTTATAATATATTCATAAAATAAAAATTTTATTTTAAATTCTATTTTCAGATATTAAAAGAATGTATTATTCCTTTGGTTGTTGATTGGCGCACAGAAAATTACTACACTGTATTTGAATCGAAAATGTCTTCCTCTTCTCTATTCTTTTGCTTTTTTTTTCTTCAGTTTAACACGGTTATACAGAATTGTTGACCATGGTCAACTTGCAAACACACATTCCAACCACTACTGTAGTAATAATAGTACTATTGGTACTAGTAGTGGTAGTATTGGCCTCTTCTCTCTCTCTCTCCCTCTCTCTCTCTCTCATACATACACACACTTAAAGGATCTTGACTCTTCGTTGAATCTTTCTCGTGTGTGTGTGTGTGTGTGTGTGTGTGTGTGTGTGTGTGTGTGTGTGTGTTATCATTAATTATTCTACTACCACTACTACTATTCTCTCTAGTTTCCTACTCCGTTGGGAGATAATAAAGGCCAAAGGTTGTTGTTGTTGTTACCATGCTCATTAATATTTCGATATGATATTCTTCATTGTAGGCAGGAGATGAGAATACACAAAGTGATTCGTCGATATTACAGGCATAGTTGTATTGATTCAGTTAGTTTTCTTTGCCTATTTACAAATATTCAGATTGTTTTCTGTTGTTTTGTTTTCACCCTTTATTACATAATAGTTATAATGAATTTGTTTAAAATTATTATTCAAGATTTATTGTGTAGACACTAATTTATCTTATGAAGTGTAAGGTGATCAGGTAGTCTCATACAATCAGAATAGCAGTTCTGATTGACTATTTCATATCTATCAATCCAATAACTCGATTCTTTTCTCTCTTAATTATTGTTATTTTCTTATATTCTCCATTCTAGTAATATATTTAACCCTTTTTATAGGGTATATAGATAGATATATCCTTGTTTATAGTTTATTTTATTGAATAACCCTCATTTTGGTGACTTGATTAACTTTGTGAGGGATAATTCGTGAAGTTCCAATAAGAAGTTGTGACCAATCGAAAATGAGAATAGTTAGTCAACAATGATATTGAATATAGATTGTGATATATGTATATATATGTCGTAAACTAATAGAAGTTGGATTGTAACCGAGTGGATCATGGAACCTGAAGGTCATGGGTTCGATCCCTAGTGGACGGAGTCATGTAGTGCATACATTGCTGAGGAGTCCTATACTAGTTAGACGAAACGGTTGTTCAGTTTAATAGATTTTCCCATTCTGTTCATCACTACTAAGCCATTATAAATTTGTATATAATTCTTCTAGAGGGTTTTCTTAAGGTCAAATGAAAATACACTGACACTTTTATCACAGAGAGAGAGAGACGTAGGTAATTATTGACTGTTTTGTAGACAGGTCTTCTATCACAATGATCTGGAGGTTTACCTTTGTATATCATGAACACTTAAATTTGTGTATACTAATGATTCATTGTCAGTGAATGCTCTCCAGAAAGTCAACTTCAACATGATGGCTAGCAATGGAATTTAAGATGCATGTTTCGCCTCGTTTGGGACTCTTCAGACGGAATTGCTGGACCCCTATGTTTGAGAGATAGGTTACTGATTCTTTTGTACTGGAAGAATGAGTTATTGATTTGATCCAACTGGAAGGGTGTTCTTTAGCTTCTAAGAATACCAAAGAAAGCCTATAAAAGGTTGAAAAATTATCAAGACAAGATCGATATTAAAGTTAGCTATCCACAGTCAATTCTACTCGAAGAAGAAGAAACCTTCAATAAATTGTCCGAAGCTATACATATCATAACCAAAAGAAAAGGAGAGTATTAAACTGGAAAAATTGTCAGCTAGTTTAAACAATAAAGCCTTGGAGGGGGGTAGGGTAGTAAGTCTCTTTGCTCTACAATTCTCAGCTTCAAAAGAATCTTTGTCATAAAGAGAACTGAACCCTAGTACGATTGATACGACTGACTTCGAATAGTTTTTAGCCTTGGAAACATATGTAAAGACTTCGAATCCCACAAGAAATTCATCAAAAAAAAGGTTTTGCTTGCAAGTTAGACAAACTTTCGAAGGATGTTGTGATCGATGACTGAACGTAGAGATGAAATTTTAAGCTGTAACAGAATTCTAACTAGCTACAACTGAGTTTCTGGCCTTGTGGTCTACTAACTGGTCTACAAAAATCCGGTCGTTGACTAAAATTTCCAAAGATGAATAAATCATCAAGATAGATAACTGAAGAGTACAACTTAACCAACCTGTGGAACACCCTAGGTGTCCATGAATCATATGCGCATATTTTTGACTGGTACTTTCATTCCCAGGAACTTTGGCTTCCTACTGAATACTGTACTTGCTGAAAAAAACAACCGTCCTATCCAAAAAAGATTAATCAACTCATTTTCGTAACAGATTCATAAATATCAAATTCTGTGAAGATAAAACAATCATCTCCTTTGACGTCGAAGCTTGCGAAAGAAACTATTCTAAGTATACTTCGAAGTGATGACGGTCTATAAACTCATATATATGTTAAAATTACAGAATTAGTGGGTCTAATAAATCTTTGTACTCATCTGTCTACTTTCAATTTAACGGATAGATAAATATGATCAAATTATAGGATGCTAAAGGTCAAAAGTCATTGTAGGGGCCAGTGATAACATAACGATGAGTTGAAAATACTAACAATCATCAAGGAAAGTTGCCGGGTTGATGTATTCTTCATCCTATTAGGTAACCTTTTGTCATTTAAAGCGATTGATCTTGTGTTCCAGTCCCAAGTGGAACGGAACTTGCCTCCTTGATCCCACTATCCATCAATAATATCAAAACTGATTAATGTTTTTTAGAGTAGCAGGATTCTTGAAGGAAGAAAGAAACCTACAACAGGCAGTCTTAGATGTTTTCGTTAAGAAAATTGACGATGGAAACTCAGGTGAACAGGAAACTAGATCCTAACTTGCAACCGCAGCAGTTGAAGGTTGCACAAGCAAAGCCGCGCTCTATTTAAACAAGCAAACAAATGGTAATAGAAAAAAATCACAAACATTTGAAATCTTTCAACCACTCGTCAAGAGATGCCTTGCCAAACGAATGAAATCTACCATGGAAATATTCTTCCATACATGAAGAACATTTAAGGGACAACAGCTGGATTGCTGCATCTACTTGGAATCGCAGTATCACAAACAGAGTCACAATATATGGTGCTACGCGAAAAATCAATTTAACGGGGAAAAATAATCCATATATACGAACACCACTACTTCATAGAATCGAAGACCCGTCTTACATATGTTAACTTTCAGGCGTCAGGGACACGAAGCCTCAATACACCATAATAACCACAGATAAAACTTCGAAGGTATGAACTTGGTAAAGGTTCTGTATTATTTTAAGGCTTGGCACTCGGAATAATTACCAATAAACCACTAGGTCAACCGATTTGCTTCATAGGAGTCTGCCCATGCAAAACGTATGGCTGACGGTAATGAACCAGTTCAACTGAGAAGATACCCTTCACATAATCGAAAAAGATATCACTAGGCAATCAATAAAACGTGACACCTTTCTACAGCAAATAGTGACAAAGAACACCCTTGCAGTTGGATCAAATCGCTCATTCATTGTGAGGCTTCTTTTCACCAACCAATCACACCACATCAACCATCACTAATTCAAACAAACAAGAAAACTCAACCGATATAATAGTTGCAAACACCTCTGAAAAGATCACTGGAGGCGAAAGCTGTTCAATATCCCTCCACACACTAACCAACTGACCAATCAGGTTAGTTAGTTTGTTGTAAAATGTCCATTTACCATCAGTTCCTTTTGAAGCTCTGATGTTGAGGTCCAATTTAACATTGAAACATTTAACAGCCAAGGCTCAAGCCCATATAGCAGTTCAGTTTGAACTTCATAGATTTCTGCTTATCAATGCAGTGCTATCAAGATATCACAAAAGTCACACATTTATGAAAAAGTCAGATGGATACGTGTTACTCGTCATAGTTTGGCTAAAAGTTTATGATGAAGCAGTGGGCCTATTTCGGCTTGAATGCTGTCACTCAATGTCTTAGGAGCAAGGAGAGTTAGTTACCCTGGCTATGAGCAGGGTATATCATTTCCGAGAGTAATATCACAATGAGGTTACAGTCTCACGGCTTCATAGTCGTTCCTGACAATAAGATAGAGAGTGGCCTCCTTCATGGTTCATGGCATTTCGCTGAATTTCATCCATTCAAAATAAACTAATGCCGACAGCGTCACCATTTTGGGTATGAAGAAGAAATTTACTGTTCTCCAACCGAAATGCTCCTATGAAGTCTGAATCTCCTTTTTTCAAACACATACTTAGATATCAAGTTGACTATCTGAGATAGCAGCCGTGGTCTGGCAGACTAGTACTATTACTGGGTGAAATGAAGATTTGGGCCGCCACCGCGTTCGAAGAAGCTACCAAAACTGGAAGAAACATGTGGTCAGCAGTCGAACCTCGTAGCTCAGTTAGTGAAACATCGGGCCGGGAAACCTGGTGATAGCTGGTTCGAATCCGGCTGGGTGTGTTGTGATTTCAGTACAGTAAATAGGTCATCTACATATCGCTACCATACTTTTGGGGTAGGTTAGAATGTTCCTAATGCCATTTGTTCCCTTCTGGCGACCAGTATGTCTGCTGAGGTCGGGGATATTGGAGATGCCATCTCTAATCCTTCTGTCTTCGATTAAAAGGGAGAGTTAGTTTTACTCCGCAATAGATTATTCGATATTCTATGCGATATGAAGAAGGTAAATGAAGTAATAATAATCCATATGGCTCATGGTCAACTGAAATTCAATACTGATGTTATTTCCCCAAGCTGACGGACATCGGAAAAAATGGGGGAAACGTGGGGACGTCAAGGGGAATTGTGGAGAAAAAACGCACCAGTGGGGATTTCCGGGGGAAAGTGGGGACAAACCCCACTAATGCGGACAATGCTGGTACCTTGTTGCATTTTCCCATTTTTTTCCCCATTTACTCACCATTAGTTTTCCCCATTTTCTTCAATTTGGGAAGAATAT